TTAACAGCTGGGACTTGACAGCTGTACTAGATTTATACGGAAGTATCCTATCATTGGAAAGGTAGATGGTACACGTGTAGCACAGATCTGTAGTACGCAGAACTTTTTTTGGATGTTTCTCAAATTATCTAATTATTTTGCAAACCTTGATGCACAAAACTAATGCCGGTAAACATGGCAAAGACTATCTTTTAAAACCTAGTATTTTTAATTCAACATGTTCAAGCTGTAAAGCTATCTCTATAAGTTCTTCCTACTTATTTAAAATGCTTGTACCATAGAATTTAGTTTGTATATAAGGATATATGTATTAAAGAGAAACTCAGATCTTGGTTACGCCAAAGAATACATAAATACGATGTGCAGATTTTAGAGCGAGGTTTGCCAATGATTGGCATATTCTAATGCGAAGAGGGCGAATTGTTCTACGGGCAAGTTGTCTTAGAGGCAAACTCTCTAGCATCCTTGCGCATGCGTAGCCTGACGTAAGCCCATGGCATCCGGTTTAACTCCACTAATATATTTTCTGCGTGGACCTCAGGGTCCACGCAATAATACCTGTATTCAGTTTTTTGTTTTTAACATATTTTAGTGTCAATATGTCAAAGGGATTGGACACAAGTTCCAAAAACTTTTCCTCTCCCATGTGGATGTAAATACATGTATAACAGCAATGTAACACACATTATTCAATTTGTTTGCACACACCTTTGCATCTCTCAAACAAGAGGCCCACGGGCCTTATAGGTCACCTGAGTATCATGTAAAAGCTTTACAACAATTGGGTTCACATTTTAAAATTCATAATTTTGAATTAGGCACACTCGCTCATCATAACTTTACATTTATTTTTCTTACTTAATACCCAGAAGCAGAGCAGAGGATTATTAAAGAATTAATGCATTTTCACTATGTATTCATTAGAGCCCTATTCTAACACCAAAACCCTGACCCAGGGGCCATAAAATTCACAATATAGGAAGAGGCACCCTTACTCATGAAAACTATACTCTTGGTTCATCAGCTTAATACCCAGGAGAAAAGGAGAAGATTTTCAAAGAATTATTGCATTTTTACTATGTAATCATTAGAGCCCCGCCCTAACAACAGAACACCTGACCTAGGGGCCATAAAATTCACAATTTTGGAAGAGGTATCCTTACTGATCATAATTATGCATTCATGCAGTTTGTTTGCTAAATACCCTGGATCAAAGAAGAAGATTTTTAAAGAAATAATGCATTTTCACTATATATTCAACAGAGCCCTGCCCTTAACACCAGAACCCCTGACCATGGGGCCATGAATTTCACAACTTTGGGAAAGGCACCCTTACTCATCATAACTATACTCTCAGTTCATTGGCTAATTAATACCCAGGAGAAAAGGAGAAGATTGTTAAAATATTATTGCATTTTTACTATGTAATCATTAAAGCCCCGCACTAACACCAGAACCCCTGACCCTGGGGCCATGAAATTCAAAATTTTGGAAGAGGCACCTTTCAACATCATAACTATGCATTTAGTTTGTCTGCTTAATATCCAGGAGCAGAGAAGTTTTTAAATAAAATAATGCATTTACCAGAACTCCTGACCCTGGGGCAATGAATTTCATAATTTAGGTAGAGGACTCAATGCTTATTACAATCTTGCCAACGGTTTGCCTCAGCTTGATGTCCAGGAGTAAAGAAGAAGATTTTTAAAGATTGCATTAATTTTGATGGTTTTAGCCCCACCCTTCAGGCCCCAGGGGGTAGGGGTCATAAATTTCACACTTTTTACTCCCCTTCACCCATAAATGCTATATGCCAAAATTGGTTTAAATTGGTTAAGTGGTTTAAAAGAAGAAGCTGAAAATTTTCAAATATTAATGTACGATGGACAACACACACCGACGGACGAAAACAGATAGCAATAAGGTCACCTGAGTAAACTCAGGTGACCTAAAAACAATGATTCATTTCTTTAATATCTTAAAATTTTTATTCTTTTCCCTGCTTAGCCCAAAATTTGTATCTCTTTTGAAAGACAAAGTTGCTCAATCAAGCTTGCTTTTTAAAGTCCTGCATGGATGAAAAGAAATTTACCTTAATAATTCATAGCTAACGTTGAACTGTTAACTTGCATGCATGCACATATTTACATCCTGACCAATGAATATTTTCTCTATTTCTTTTGAAAACCACTTCAGTTCATGAACACTGTATACTGGTTAGAACTATTTTTTCAAGGCCACTCGTGAATGAAAGATTTCTAAAGCAGGGTGCTGTTCATCATACCATGACATACAGATCAATAGTAAAATATACTAAACCCTACTTTATACCATATTATTATAACAGGCATAAATATAAACAATAAAATGTTTTTCTTCATTGTTCATGAGGGATTAGCAGTTGCAACCATTGCTTATGCATTGCTTCCTGCATGTATAAAAGAAGAATTTGACATACAAATCAGATACCCTAATAAAGTGAGAGATGAAATTTTATCCAGTACAAATTAAATCTAATGGCAAAAAAATACATTTTAAAGTTTTCATTGCAGGTAAAAAAAAATTTGGGCCTCGATTATTAGTTCCACACTAATATTATGATGTTAAAATATCCAGTGGATATTTTTTTTCTATCTTAAATTTGATACTTCTTTAAGGTGTCAAGCATACATTTCAACTTTTATTGACCCCAAGTATGAGAATCAACATTACAAATTTGCATTTGTGAAGAGAACAAGAAAAATATAATGCATCTTCTTAAAGAGCAGCTGCAAATTTCATATAGGGAGATAATATACCCAGTACATGTTTTTAATCTTTTTCAATCTGCATACAGGATATGACTTTAAGGGTATAAACTGCAAACTTGTATATAATATATATATAGAGAGAGAGAGAGAGAAGATCTCCCATGGTTTGTGGTTGGACATGTTTTTTATCCCTTTACCAAGGCTCAAGGATAAAAACAAAAAAATAAAACACAAATCATTGGATAAAATGTATTAAAAAAAAAAAAAAACAATTGGTAATCGGACAAAATGTGTAAAAATTCAGGTATTTTAAAAAAGACTTAAAACATGTAAACTCAAATGTGTGATCATTTGGAATTCTCAGTTCAAGGCACTGGGTATTGGGTGTGATCATCCAACTCCCACACCACCCTTAAAGCGACACTGTGACGCACAAACAGGAAAATTGACAAACATAGAATTTTTGTATGACCTGTGCAAATTTTGTTCAATTCCTGAAAGTATTAGGTTTCAGAAAATTACAGGTTCAGGAATGTAAAAAATGTATTTTTATGGAGAAAAAAAATAATTTCTGTATGGCCCAACACGAAAATATTGCAGCTTTACTTTTTCCTCTTTATTATACGCGTGCGCAGAAATGTTGAAGTTACCATGGTCTCAAGTACAATATTAAAATGAATGTCGGTAGACTAAGAATTTTGATACAATCTTCAAAAAAGATTATTAGAACATATTTCTCACCTTTGCATGTTGTTTACAAGTTTACGCTAAAAAAAAAGTGGCATGACCTTGACATGCACGATAACAATGAAACGGTAGGTACAACCTTTGTTTTTCCGGCACTTAAATTGTGCAGTCTTTTCTTACTTTGCAGTGGAATTTAGTTGTCATATCTTCACTATATTCATAATTTTCATTAATCTTTCGCTTTATGATACACTCAGATATCTTGAAAGATACATGATTTTGACTCATTATGTACCGTAACTTTAATAATAAACACACACACTGTCACACTCCAAAATATTCTTTTTGAAACAAAATAAATTCATAATATTAAACACTCTAAAAGGGAATACGGTGATATCACCTATTCGAATAGGTGATATCACCAATTCAAGTTGAATAGGTGATATCACCCATTCAAATAAGTGATATCACCTATTCGAATAGGTGATATCACTTTTTGGAAGTAAATACCAAAACGGCGCCTCATAGAATACTGGTTTTGTTCATTTAATGTGAAAAAATGACTTCAAGATTGCTCCAGAACCATCAAAAATAGTACCTAATTCTTAAAAATTTTCATGCTCAGGGGAGGGGATATCCTCACAGAACTTAACCTGCACCCCTCCGTCTTTCCAGAAACCTGATCCTGCAGTTGATTTGATAATAGAGATCTAATAAATTGACACATAAACTTACTTAAGTATTACATGTATCATATAAAGGTCACAAAATTTCATAAAAACTGTTCTGCATTTGCATGTTTAATTAACTATAGATTAAGCTTAAAAACAGTAATCTATGGTTAAAGGAGTGTGACTTGTTAATGCCACATGAAAGAGTGAAACATAGGTTTGCATTTGATAAAAATTAGATTTATCGACAGCTGTAAAGTATAGTTTACACAGAGTAATTGGTTTTGTTTGCCATACCTAAGATTAATGAACAAAATCATTGTTAATTGTAAATTAACATTTTAAAGTGTTTAATAAACCATGTTTGCACTTGTATTAGTTATAGTTAAACTGTTTAAACCTATAAAACAGATTAAGCCGTAAACTATATAGGTGTTAATGGCTCTACATAATACGTAATTTAAACTATGGTTGATAAACCAATATGTTTTACTCAATTTTTGGCTTGCCATATATCATACAGTTATATAATGCTTATTTAGGCACTTGTGAAATATTTTTAATAAATCCTGTCTCCCAAGTAAAATAAATTCCATATCCCACTACAAAACAGTTGATTACATTTTCTTTGATTTTTCCTTTGCCTTTGTCTTTTCCTAACACAGTGTCATAGACTGTGACATACATTGCAAACATGTAAACATTTTCAACAACATACTTGGAGAAACTTCAGCAGTTTATCTCTGATCGGTTTACTATGAATGATTAAGTAATAAATGATATAAATTAAGTTAATCTAACTTTTATTTTCCTCTCCTTACTTACATTCTCAAATATAATTTTAATTTGCAATTTCTCGTGCGAGATCCCTAGCATAATATATAGTACTCACCCGACATCTACGGTATATGAAAAGCATTTAGCATGGGATTCTTCCTCGAGGATTGATGCTGTTTTCGAGTTTGACGTTTCGTTTATATCCCAGAGAACTAATACTGCCCCAAGCCTGGCAAATTCCCTGGCTAATTGACGTCCGATTCCAGATCCTGAACCCGTAATTAAAACAATTTCTCCAAACACCGATTTTCTTGGTGGCGGGACAAAAAATCGCCACATGCCGACAAAAATCGCAGCAAAAAAATTTTGTAAGGTTTGTAAAAGTTCGAGAAAAATGCCCCCATCTTTCCGCTGTTGCGATGTCGGAATTTCAGGTCGTGCCTCCATTTGTCAGTTTGTCTAGACACTGACCGTACGTCTTAAGTAGCCATCTGACCCATCCTGAAATGTCAGGTGTGCTTCAGAGTTGTAAACATACAATGACTGATCGAGCCGCTTTATTTATATCAGCGAAAAATCCCGAGAAGTGATGTATGGAAGCTTAGCCGCGTAAAAAAAGGAGAAAATCAATATCGACCAACTACTCAGAAGTAATCGCAAAATTAATCAAAAAAGAAAAAAAGCCACCTTTACAGTTTATAGCACTGTTAACACTTATGAAGTTCATCCTTAATTTAAACTCAATAAACCATATAAACGACAGTGCTCCTGTCGACATGCCATGAATAATGTATGACAATTACCATACCACACCGATACACTGAAGAGGCAAAGTTAGTACGTAATAACATTAGCAGATTACAGGTTTTGTTTTTTATACTTCATTCTCAATTCAACATAAATTGGACATTTCAAAATAAAATGAAACTCCTCATATTCGATAAAACATTGTTGTGTCTGCCTTTAAGTTTTACAATGTTTGAAGAGTGAAGAAGACGTTCTGTTATATTACTTTTTTTTTCCATGTAAGTTGTACATATACTGCATGTTTTTCAAAACTATAGCCTTTTAGAACTACAGTACTCCGTTTTGAACAGTTCACCTTGATTTCAGCTATAAACTGTGCCGCATATTTTAGTACAAAAGATTCCTGGTAATAATAATCTATAAAGTACTTGATTCCGGGAATGTGTACATTGTGGTTAAGCAAATATCGTATCACCGTTGTTTGATACCATATCCGAAATGATCAGAATTACAAGGAGCAACCATATGGTTCTTATTCTTGAACAGTGTTGAAGCAGAAGCGTTGACTGCAGAATAAAGGATGATTACCATACGGCTCCCAGTAAATTGACAAAAATTAGATGTCTAATTTTACTCTAAGGAGATGGGCGAAAATAGTGTGCAGAAAGCCTATAGCTTCAAATATATAAAAATCATGTTCAATTTGTGAATTTAGTATATATTTAAAGTTCTAATTATTGAAATTTATGAAATTATGATAAACAAATTTAAAACTTTTCTGAGGAGATTTTTCTCGGCAAAATTTATTCTTTTATTAAAAAAATAATGTGGTATCGTGGGGTTCGAACCCAAGCAATACTGAAAAATCCTGAGTTTCATTTTCTTTCGAGACTAGCACGCTAACCACTATACTACTCAAGACCTGATGAATAGTGGCACTTAAGGTATGTCACTCGTCAGCCTTTTAGAAAATTTCAGTCAGAACCTCTTACTTAAAAACTATTTATTACAATTCAATCTTTATAACATATTTAAATTAAACAATGTAAAATGTTCAACATTCAATTAAAAAACTGCTCAAAAATTCACAAAGAAGCAAGATTTATAAGGGACTATTTCTTGTGGCGGGAGGATATTTAGCAGAAAATTCTGCAAATCTACACATTTATTAAATTTAATATCTTGGAACTTTAGCCTCACATACTTTTACTCAGAGAATATTTTCCGTTATGATATGCCTGGAATATTAAATATACGTCTCAATTTATATTTTTATAACAAAATTTACACCTTCACTCATCAAACATTGCCAAGAAATGAAGATATATTAAGGAAGTCGAGATAAAATTTACACAGTTTTTTGCCTGAAAATCGCATATTTTGACCAATATTTCAAAATTAACATCACTGACCCCAACTTTTTCTTTCATTATTTTAAACTACTCGATACTTTTGACCGATCAGCACTTAAGTCGTAAAAAGTTTGATACAAGAAAATATTCTATTGCCTATTTAGATTTTTAATAGCCTAAATATGAGACTTTTTAGTGCAAAAAGGTCACACAATAATTTACGCGCATTAATTTGCATGATTTGTTCAATGATAAATATTATTCAAACCATTTTACGTAAAATAAGATTATGTTTATTGCCATGGTTACATCTTATAAAATGTGATAACGGATAAAGTGATTAACCAAAGAGTTACGATTTAAGTGCAAAAAGGTCAACTTAATTGTACCGTAGCTCAGTTAGATGCACACTGACCCCCCATTTTCTCCGCGATTTTGAGTCATGCTATATGAGTACTTATCCAAAATATACTTCTCAAAAAATCCTTGATATAACAAATTTCACGAGTGACATACCTTAAATCATGTTTGTGATATGACCCTTGACTTAATGGACTTCAAGTATTTCTCAAAAAGATGCGAATGTTATGTCATAAATGTATATTTTTAGAGTATAGTGGGTCTTCGCTCCATATTTTTGGAAACCAAAGAATATATATTTTTATGCAAACTTCGAGGATTAACTTTCAAAAAAATGGAGCGAAGACCCACTTATATAGAAAAATAGTGTTATTGTATGAGAAAATGACTCTTTTGCCATCTTTAGTGTGTGTACAATATTTCATTAGCAAATAATTTCAATCTTTTTGAGATTTTTGCAAATTGTAGAGATTTTACATAGAGTATATTTTAATGTTAGATGAAATATCAAGGAAAATTTTGATCTAATTGAGATTTAATTTTTCACCTTCATGTTTGTCACACTGTAGGCTAATCGCTCGTCATGTTCACCTATCTTCAAATTTTTGCATGCACTTAATCACTGATAAGTGTACCCTGATGGAATACTACTTTTACCAAAAATGGAAATGTAGTTTGGAAGATATTAATTTGGGTATGGATACCGTGTTTACATCCAATTCCCATTGAAGTTTGGCCCAGCCCCACTCTTTGAAGCCCTTGAAATATATGAGTGCAAGGAGGTACATTTTTCTCCTTTGACTTGTCACTGTATTTCATCGAAATCTACCTATATGTGAAAGGAGAAAATTGTACCTAATTGCGCTCAAATGTTGACTGTGTTTAAAACATTGTAAAATCTAGCTGGCCTTTCCCATTACGAACAGAACGAGGAAGGTATTTTTTCTGACGTAAGAATATAAATTCATATGCTAATTTAGGCACCGGCTTGACACTCTAATCTACCAATCAGCTGAGTTCCATTACGAGTGAGTACTACAAATAATACTACAAAAATTTAATGCTTGAAAAAAAGGCATTCTTTTACTTGCTTTCCGAAAGGCTGTTTTATTTATAATGCATTTCAATCACAGATTAAATACAAACCTACAATTTCCATGCTCACAATTACAAACAATTGATACAAAATTGCAAGGCAATTAATTGTAAGGAAAAACATGAAAACAGACTACATTCAATTTTAAACTTCTTTTTCACACCAAAAAAAAAATTTAGCAAGAAATCAATTTTTGAAACAAGTATATATTGCAATTATTCTTAAACATATGAAGATCACATAATTATATACACTAGTAGCAGTTTTCAGTTTACGGAGGTTTCGTTTACGTGACAGTCCACCGTAATTACAATGTTACAATCATCACAATGCATTGATTGTAATTACAATGTTACGATCATCTGACACAATGTTTGTATTTGTATTATACAAGAGTTTATGACAGCCACATTTGGAAAGGTTTACATATATACATGTGTTTTCAGTTAAATGTTATCTTCTTTATTTACTAGTAGTATATAAAATTATAAAGTTTCTATGGTCTATTCAGGGACGTATATATGTCGTAATCTATTTAGTCTCTATACAATCTGAACAAACGCGAACGGTTCATGAAACTCCATATTCATCGGCGATTGTGAGCTCACAAACTACAAAGTTTGGAGCCAGCGGTGCAGCTGAGCAGGAAACAAAAGGCCCACGGGCCACAACGCTCACCTGAATAGTTCTTCATCAGACGATCTTTTTGTAATACCTATTGTGGCCCCGCCCTACCCACGGGGGTCATGATTTTAAAAATTTTAAAATCTACACTACCCCAGGATGTTTCCATATAAGTTTCAGCTTTACTGGCCAAGAGGTTCTTGGGGAGAAAATTTTTAAAGATTTTTCCTATATATTTCAATGTAAAACTTGGATTCCCTATTGTGGCCCCGCCCTACCCCCAGGGTCATGATTTGAATAGTTTATAATTTACGCTGCCCCAGGATGCTTCTACAAAAGTCTTAGCTTTTCTGACCAAGTGGGTCTTGAGAAGAAGATTTTTTTTCTATATATTTCAATATAAAAATTGGATTCCCTGTTGTGGCCGCGCCCTGCCCCTGGGGTCATGATTTTAACAATTTACAATCTACATTACCCAAGGATGTGTCCACTTAAGTTTCAGTTTTTCTGGCCCAGTGGTTCTTGAGAAGAAGATTTTTAAAGATTTTTTCTATATATTTCAATGTAAAATTTGGATTCCCTATTGTGGCCCCGCCCTTCCCCGGGGGTCATGATTTTACCAATTTAGAATCTACACTACCCCAGAATGCATCCACATAAGTTTCAGCTTTTCTGGCCCAGTGATTCTTGAGAAGAAGATTGTTTAATGACCCCACCCTATTTTTTTCTTTTCTTGATTATCTCCCCTTTTAAGGGAGTTTGACCCTTTATTTTAAGAATTTAAACTCCCCTTCACTCAAGGATGTTTTGTACCAAATTTGGTTAAAATTGGTCCAGTGGTTCTTGAGAAGAAGTTGAAAATGTGAAAAGTTTACAGACGGACGGACGACGGACAACGGGTGATCAGAAAAGCTCACTTGAGCTTTCAGCTCAGGTGAGCTAAAAAAAAAACTGGAAAAGGAAAATACTAAAGTTAGAACTACTCTTGAAAGCTTGACTCCATTATTTATGTTTCTTGCATGTGAGGGAAGTTCGCCAGTTAATGAAAATGGTGTCGTCATGCAGCCTTCAATGGCTTATTCAACACCGGATTAAAACAATAATTGACTCTTTCAGTGGTTATTATGGTTTGACTTTCACCAGAAAAATATCAATATTGACAGAAGCGTAAGCCTCCGTCTATATTGATATTTTTCTGTGAATATCAAATCATATTAACCATTTAAAGAGTCCATTATTGTATATAACTAAATTGTAGTTTCCCTTGAGGAACTTTTTGACTTTTTTTAAACCCTGTGATTGCTGGAAATCAGAACAGAATCATTCTTTAACTTCTGCCACAGAGATTTAACCCATATATGCAATACATTTGTAAATATTTTTTATTCAAATATTTTCGTAATATTTTTCATAGACTGTAACGTCACGCAAAATATTGCCAATGGTTAAGAACGAGATGTGCAAAATTGGGAATAAATAGAATGCGTGGGTGAATGAAAGGGAAAAAAAGGCCAGATATTTATAATTAACAATATGAATGTGATACCTGATGTTTGATCTTAGTGAAATAACGAACTGAAGAAAATCGGGAAAACTCATTGCCATCCAAATCTATGTTGCAATGGTGCGCATTAAAATGGTAAAAATTTGCGTTTGAATAGAACATTTGAAGCTTAGGCCTTTTTCTTCAGAAAGGAAAAGGCGGGTCACATGCTTCATTCAAATACCGGTGGAACAGGTATTCGAATGAAGCATGCCAATCAGATTGGCAGTGTGAACACTGTCACCGAGTGAACATGTGTTCGATCGATACTTGTGATAACTTCTTAAGCATGATAAATTCCCAATTATGTACATGTACATGCATATGTTCGTTGCTATGAGTGGGTTTTATATAATCAGAAAATTGGGGAGTCTCTAACTCTCTCCTAACTTCATAAAATCTGTCATTATCCTCATTTCAGCAAAACTCGTGCTGCTAGTTTCAGAGAGTGTGGTGCCTTAAGTACCGCGACATCTTCGCTAGCCAAGTGTCCGATGAGGGTAAACGAATCGGACACTTGGCTAGCGAAGATGGTACCGCGACGAATATTACTTTTTCGAATTCGTTTCAAAGAAATGGGCGTGTCTTTATGTAGAAATTGACGTTCGCTAAGAAAGAACCAAACTTTCCATTCAAACGAAAAAATTACCACTTCCATGCCCATCATTGTAGTTTGTCCTATAAGGCGCGGTGCGTTCGTCCTTGACGCCGTTCGCCAAATGCTTGTTCGCCCAGAGTCGGTTCCTCTAAAATTTGTTCGCCTAATGTGCGTCGTCCTTTTTATGTTGAATATGTTTGTCGGTTAATTTTCGTAATTTATATGTTGATTTTATTGAAATTCCTGAATGTTTCTGTATGAATAATAATTCATTAAATTGATACATACGGTATATAGATTAAAAAATAGAACTCATGCATAAAATGAATAATTTTATGATTTTGAACTGTGGTAATCGATGTCTGATAAATATACTCATTGATTTATAAGTAACATTAAATATTCTAATATGAGAATAAGATTCTTCAAAGATAAAATTCCTGCTTAGTACCAAATGGCCTAATAACCCCTCAATTTCTTTCGTAAAAACAACAACAACCAAAAACAAAGAAACAAAAAACAAAACAGAACAAAACAATCAAAAAACACAAACAAAGATCGAAGGTTTCCCTCATTTACAGTATTAAAATAATTAAGATTAACAATAATTAATAAAAACAAATAAAGTCTTTGATAAATATTTTTAAAAAATGAAAATAGTCAATTTATCAGGAAAACAAAAAATTCTTTACTAAATCTATTGAAATTTAAAAAATAGAAGAAATGACTTAAAATTCAACAGAAATATTAACATAATATTTACAGTAGGGGAACCCGATACCTCGCCATCCTGCTGCCAAACTCACTGGTTTTTCTTTATACCGTTTCTCATTTATTTTCTCTTTATTGAAAAAAAATTACAGATTTTAACGTTTTTTAAAAACAGTCGGGCACGACAATCTATTATTCAGAGCAGGCAAACCGGCATGGCAGAATCCACAGACGAAGAGAGTTTGCTTTGGAGATTTTTGTTCTTGGGTGACGATGAAAGTGTGTATAGACCAAGACAACAGGAAATTCAGGCTACTTATATCATTGATAGGTAAAGAAGCATTCACTAAAGACGAAATTCTTATTTGCCACATTTAGTTTGAAATGATTTCTACTTTCGGTTTGTCAGATAACAATGATTACCACAGGTACTTGGGTCTTGGTTTATAAATATGTATGTACCTTATTGATATGTAAAAAAAGTAAAGGTATGCAGGCTCCGTAATGGCGTCTGCTCAACTCGCTTGTTAACATGGCTTGTTCTTTGAAAATAACGCTGCGCCTACCGATCTTTATGCACCGGACGTCTCGGAACACTGATTACTTATTGTAAAAACCCTTAAATCTTGCAAATAATTCCTAAAACATGATTTTTAAACACATTTTCAAACTTTTCGTTAACGTGCCCGGAACTAAGTGCAGATACTAAAAACCGATTCAAAACGACAAATTCCGGCCATTCAGACACTTCAAAAGTCCAGAGGCATTCCGGGAAATTTAAATATAACTTCAATTATCCCAGAACTATTTTTAGTTTTCTCGGAACGCCTCTAGAATTTTGAAGTGTCTGAATGGCCGGAATTTGTCGTTTTGAATCGGTTTTTAGTATCTGCACTTAGTTCCGGGCACGTTAACGAAAAGTTTGAAAATGTGTTTAAAAATCATGTTTTAGGAATTATTTGCAAGATTTGAGGGTTTTTACAATAAGTAATCAGTGTTCCGAGACGTCCGGTGCATAAAGATCGGTAGGTGCAGCGTTATTTTCAAAGAACAAGCCATGTAAACAAGCGAGTTGAGCAGACGCCATTACGGAGCCTGCATACCTTTACTTTTTTTTACATATCAATAAGGTACATACATATTTATAAACCAAGACCCAAGTACCTGTGATGATTACTTTGATTTTAATAAAATTGCGGAATGACTTTATTTTACCCAGAAAACACGCTAAAAATAAATACAAATGAGATCGCGTGAACGATCGAAAAAAAAAATAAAAAGTATTTTTTTTGTTGTTGTTGATATTTTAAAGGTTTTTGTCCGTTTTGACCCCAAAATCGAATTCTTCGGTGAAAAGTTTAGGTTAAAACTTCGTTTTTAAAAAAAATCACAAAACAATAATTGTCAATGAAGACCTACATGTGCGGTGCATGTTTAGGGACATTTCTTTTGTACTTAGCCATTTTTTCATGTAAACAAACCAATGAGATCCATTGAAGCTGAATTAAGACTTGTCAGTTGAGCAGTTGAGTGACGTAAAGCTTATATCATAGTGCAATGAGCTTGTGGATCTATCTTGCGTATCTGGGGACTAATAAAGTACCCAAAATTGTGTTTTACAGTGTGATCATTGGGACGACCACAGTTCTACCATCAAAAACTACACTTGTAACTTTGATCCGCCTCTTCAATCTTCAAACCACATGAGACACAATCTAGACTGTGACGTCCTTATGACGTCGTATGTAAGTTGTATTTCAAGAGCAGAATCTCAAAAGGCCTACTGCATTTTTTATCAAGAGACATTGTAGAGTAGGTGCAAACATTTTTAGCTTAACTCAGCGAAGTTGAACAGAGCTTATTCAATACCCTCTGCGAGTCTGCGTAAGTGTCGGTGTCTGGGTCAGCATCCCAGGTTTAAGTTTTTAGAGCAGATTTCTTTTCAAGTACTTCTATGTCCTATATTATTCAGAGATGTTTCATTGTACCAGTCAAGATTTCAGATGCTGCAATTTCAGCTAAAGAAAGACTAGGTTAATGTTTTTGGAGCAGGTTAAAGTTTCAGGAGCAGGTCTCATTTTCAAGTAATTATGAGTCCTATACATGTATTGACCAAACTTGCATGAATGATACATCTAAGGATGCACATTATCAGGCTTGCTTCAGATGCTGGATCTGACCTTCATTTTCCGGATGAGTGACCGGGTCGAAGTTTTTGGAGCAGGTCTCATTTCCAAGTAACTATAAGCCCTATGTTGACCAAACTTGCCTAGATGATACATCTAAGGATGCACACTACCAGGCTTGCTTCAGATGCTGGATCAGACCGATATTTTCCATATGATTGACAAGGTTAAAGTTTTTGGAGCAGGTTCATTGTAAAGTAACTTGTACAAAACTCTTTTCTCCTTAAACTTTCAGTAAGGCGTGACATTCTTGGCGATACATAAAGAGCATCTCTCAAATGGTGACCTAGATTCTCATTGGTTAAGAAATTAATAACATTAGCAACTTTAGATTGTTGTTAACAAACAATGAGATGACATAAGCCACACCTCTTTCCTGTAAGAAACGATGTAATTGGTTCCTTGTATTACTCGTTGACTCTGACTCATTTTTATCCTATGTGTATTTCACACATGAATGAAAAGCTGTGTAAATTTCAGTATTGATGAGCTAATCTGGCAACCAATGAGAATCTAGGTCACTATTTGAGAGAAGCTAATTATGTATCGCCGAGAATGTCACGCCTTACTGAAAGTTGAAGGAGAAAAGAGTTTTGTACTATTTGCCCTACCTGGATCAAACTTGAATGGATGATACAATTGTACAAATGTATATTTATTGATGCACACTACCAGAGTTGCTTTAGATGCTGGATTTGACTTACATTTTCCAGAAAAGTGACCAGGTTAAAGTTTTTGGAGCAGGTTCATTCTCAAACAACTTTAAGACCTACCTGGACCAAACTTGCATGGATGATGCATCTAGGGATGAACAATACATCTTGCTTCAAATGCTGAATCTGACCTAAATTTTCCTGATGAATGACCAGAATAAAATTTTCAGAGCAGGTGCATTCCTAAGTAACTTTTAAGACCTACCTGAACCAAACTTGCATAGATGATGCATCTAGGGATGCACACTATTTTATAATTCGATTAGTGTGGGACTTTGCCTTACTTAAAGACAACATTCATTGAGGTGAGCTCTGTAACCTCTGATAACCTGTTTTGTTTCTTTTAAGCTCACTGCAAGAATCTTCAGAATAACTGCAGGCCTTTCATATTCACCATTATCACATCGAATCCTGGTAGTGAAGGAATTCTGGGAGGATTTCACACAAAAATTAGCTTGACGAATATACCAATTTCATTCCCAATTATCTCTGTTGTTGCATATTAGGCTATTGAGCTCATTTCACTTCCTATTAAACAGGGGCACTGGAAGTTAATGTAAATATAGAGTATATACATGTGCATTTTTTTTTTTTAAAAAAAACAAGATGTGTTTGAGAAACACTGATTCCCCTGTATGGCAGCTTATGACGATCAAAGGTTAAAGTTTTTCAAATGCAAGTCAGACTGTTGTTACCCAAAGAAAGGACTTGCGTCAATGGATATATCTGGTAAATATGAAAGCCCAAGCACCAACCATTCAAAAGTTATAGTCAAGGTTAATGTTTTCTAAAAGTGGGTCAATCTCCAAGGTCAAGATCAAAGGCTCAAAATTAATGGTACGCAGGGGAAGACCTTGTCATAAGAAATACACAAACAAACTATAAAAGCCCTAGATAGCACAAACTGTTCAAAAGTTATGGTGAAGGTTCAAGTTTTTCATAAGTAGATCAAAAATCAAGGTCAAAAGGCCAAAATTGTTATTGTCAAAAGGAAAGTCTTGTCACAAGGAATATACCTGTGAAATTTGAAAGCCCTAGTACTACTGTAGATTCCTAAATATACGCGAGGAATAAATTATCGCGTAATTACGCGAGAAGCACCACTCACGAAATAAAATTACTCGCTTTTATTTTTATTGTTCTTTAATGTATGTAAAATCTCTAAATAAATCACCCATTCGATTTGACGCCCTTTAGCCATTTCGCGATATTAAGTACTCGCGTAAAATAAGGAATCTACAGTAACCATGCTAACTGATCAAATGATATGGCAAAGGTTAAAGTTGTTTAAAAATGGGTCAGACTCTAAGGTCAAGGTCAAAAATATTTAAACCCATGGAAAGGTCTATGAAAAGAGCTATGGATATATGAAAGCTGTCTGTAATCAGTAACAGAATTTCAAAAATCAACATTAACATCTTTGTTCACTGCAGCAAGGCACTTACGTTCAGTTATAACTCAGAAATCATATATAATGATCACTGCTCAAATAAATTTACACTGAATAGTAAACTAAACTGTAGCAGCGGTCCACATACTCCATGACATGGAACATATCAAAACTCAACATGTTCAATATTCAAAACCTAGTGTCAACTTTTTATATACTTAGAGTTATAAAAGTATTCTCAAAGGAAAATATAAAAAGTAAAATTGTTTCCCTTGCAAAAAAAAAAATAAATAAAATGATTTTGAATAAAATTTATCCCCTTGCAATGCAGTTGCATTTAATTTTTCTTAATTTTTTTTTATTATCTCCCCTTTCAAGAGGTCATGACTCTTCATTTGAACAAACCTGAATCCCCTTTACCTTTCAGCTCAAGTGAGCTAAAAAACAGTGTTCTGTTTGGGATCCAAATCTTGAATATGCGGTTTATTTCTCGAATTGATTATTATTTTTTCTTTAAATATTTCCTTTCAATTTCAGATTGATTCAAAGAGGAAGAGGAAAAGCAATTATTGATTGGATTAAAGAAAACAAAGAGAAATGCTGCAAATTTTATCCATTTGCATACACCCTTGCCATATGTGCAAAATGCAACATGCTGCAAGTAAGGCAAGAAGCACTGGATGCTTTGAAATTTGTTTGTAACACACCAACGGAATTGTTTATGTTTTTATGGTATTGTGCAAAAATAGACGGCACACAGGATGGATTTTACTGGAGACACTCAAGGCAGCATCAGTACAAAAGAGAACGGGGGATATCAAAGAGAGTGAGATTAAGAAGTTGGCCAAGGCAATTCCGTAGGGGGGTTGCACTGTGGTATACAGCTAATCCACGATATCAGCAAGACATTTTGAATCTAGCTAAGCATGTCACAAAATATCAGCATCGGCATGGTTTCACTCACAAAAGAGTTATAAAGTCATGTCACCCAAAATCTAGAAATGAAGACATGAACTATATTTTTTGCTATGTTCTTAAAGGATTCTCCCATGCAAACCAAAAATTTGAAGATGCCATTATAAACGGGAGGATAAGGGTTCAGGTCAGAGAATTTTTTAAAGACTTAGAAGAATTGAAAAATCCAAATGTTAATGTTGAACTTGTGAAAGAAATGATAAACAAATGGGATCTCTCGTGGGAACATATTCCAACAAAGTTTTTGAAATATCACTGTGTTTGGAAAACATTTTTGATGAGAGAAATGCCATTAATGGCCTTAATTAGGAATCTTGGAAAAGCAGGATCCATGCAGCTTCTTCAGCCAGGGAGTGAAGAAGAAAGGAGGGTTTGTGAAAGGCTTACCAACATTGAACTTGTAAACAATAGTAAATTACATCCTATAGACATCATATCAGCTTTAACTGGCTATAGGAGAGGAGAGGGATCAAAAGGAAGGGAATGGCCCATCAATGAACAGATCATACAAGCTGTTTATAGAGCATACATGAATAAATTATCATGCCGACCCTCAACAGAAAAAAGACTGCTCATTGCCATTAATATCAAAATGAACTTTGACAGATATGTAGTAGGAAAGCAGTGGCTTTCTTGTAAGGAAGCTGCCATAGCAATGGCAATGATGCTATCAGAAAATGAAAGATCTGCTGAAATTGTAACTTTTGGACACTTTGCGCGTAGATTTGATGTTCCAAGACACGATGAAAGTATGGGAGACATTGAAACTGCATTAGAAAGAATTGCTTCCATACGAGAGGAGGGAAATCCCCCTCTGTCCTTCACGGCACCATTTGTTTATGCAGAAGGTAGAGAAGAGCCTTTTGATGTTATCATTTTAATTACAGATAAAGTTAGTTCACCAAGAGTTCGAGAAATCAAGTCAGGTTTCACAAATTACAAACAGCATCATTCTACTGCCAAGTGCATCACAGTTCATTTCAAACATGGTGAAGCTACCTCAGTCTCACAGGACCCCAGTATGTTGGATGTGATCGGTGTGGATGCTTATGCTTTAGAAGTAATCCAAGACTTCATACTAGGTTATCATGAAGACATGGCAAATATCATAGGAGATGTGGTAGATTTGCGAATATGATATTTATACATTATTTTATGCAGTATTATTTTGTGCATATAAACTCAATGAGTTACCCCTGCTTTTGAAAATGTCATATCTTTACTGCTGAGGTTACTGCTGAGGTTGACAAATGTTATTGATAGGGTCATCATTGGTGAGAATTCCAGCATTGATATAACAGTAGGAAAAAAACAAATATAGTCTTTTATACATAAAAATACTCAGGTACCAAGATGTACTTATGAGAAAATTTTAGAATTTATGCTGAGTAAAAATTGCTTTAGCCTTACTAGTCTAGTATACAATAAAAACTATAAATCTGGACCCAAGTTATATCTTTACTCTGAAGTGTACTTACTTAATTTTTCTTCATGTAGTAGTATTTCTGGCAGCTCCTACCTTTGCGGTGTATTTTGATAAATTTTTGGCAGTTCAAGCCATATTGTTGTCTGTTTTTATACTTTTGTATTTACTCTTACAGAAATAGCCATAAAAGGGTCCCCCTACTAGTAAATCTGCAGCTGATACACCAATCATTTTACCTTTATTTATTTTCTAAAAATATCAAATGAATTTTTTATCTTTTTTTAAAAAAATATATCAATATTGTTTGGGAGTATTAGAAAAACTGAATTAATATTTGGGGCCCGGTCGTTTTACAAAAGAACTTATGACTAAGACCAAAAACTTTAGTTGATTGTAAAATCTTACAAAACTTATGTTTCTGTTAAAAAATGTTGGCATAAAGTATCTTTCTAAATTCTTTTCAAAAAGATTAAAACCATTTTCAAAGTAATGTAAAAAGGAAAGTTATTTGCAAAGACATGAGGGATCCAAAGTTAACAAAATTCATGAAATAGAAGGCATGCAGATGTGCTGTGATCTAAGTAATGTCTACCCAAATCTGTGAACTGTTTACAAAATTATTTTCATTGACAACTGCATTCTTATATCAAAAAACATGGAGAGAATATAGGCATAGTATATACTGTAGTCAGTTATTTATTGGCATTCATTGAAATGCAATGTTTTTTTCATAAAAGAGCCCACAATTTATGTCAAAAAATTCTGTTTGGAAAATCATTCTATGGTAAAAAATATAAAAAAATGCATGACCTGTGTTAAACTCAAATGACAAGAATCCTGATTTTCAGTTTGCTTCACTGTGTTCCTTGAACCGGAGACTTAATGACTACAAATAAGCCACACAACTACATGAAGATACAGGCATTTACATGTTAATGATATCATGGAATGACCTCCCATTCACTTCCACTCAAACAACATTTTTATTACCATTTGATTGGGGGGGGGGGGAGCTAGAAAAAAAATTTTGAGTCATGTTCTTTATTTTCTTGCCAGTCAAAGGCAGATTATTTTTCAAGATGATCAAGGGCAGATTATTTATTTTCTTCACTGAAAAAAATTTTGACTAGCCAAAAAAAAAAAAACAACAAAAACAAAAACAAAAAAAAAGAGCAGGGACCTTACTCAAATGGAAAAATTGAAATTTGAGAAAATGTCAATTTTGTCTACTTTAATTCATATATGTTCTATTGACTGTTATAGATTATATACCAATGAAATTGTGGCATATTGCAAAAGTTGATTTTCAGTTATATATATTGATATTATTTACAATATATGAAAGAAAATCCTGTGTTATCTTGTCATGTAGTTATTTTAATTTTTACACTTTTCTACACTTTATATAACAATTCATCACAATAAATTAAATTCTTGACTACTGTAGATTCCTTATTTTTTTCATGAGTACTTATTATTGAGAAATGGCCCTCTAACGTCAAATCGCGAGAAAAATAATTCACGAGTGGACGGATGATCAAAAGATTTTACATTGATTTCAGCACCATAAAAATTAAAGCGAGTAATATTATTTCACGAGTGGTGCTTCTCACAAAATTACACGATAATTAATTTAATGCGTATATTAAGGAATCTACAATATTTGATATCATAGACAACTGCTTTGTAAATAAAAACAGAACTCGGAAAAATTTTCATGTCTTTTGATTGGTCATCAGCAAAATTACTTTGTTAAAAACCATGCACTCTGATTGTACACACGAGTACTCTGATAATGGTATTAAAAGGATGCTGAAGACCAAGTTTTCCAATAAACTGTTGGAATTCTGATCGGCACTAAATGTGCTCTTTCATTAGCTGACCTGTTTTTATATTTCTATGAAGCAGAATTTATTCAAAAACTTCTACACAAGAAGAGGAAAACACTAGCTGTGGCCTTCAATTCGACATTCAGATATATCAATGATGTTTTATCAATTAACAATTGTTGTTTTCATTTGTATGTTGACTATATATTCCAGTGAACTTGAAATAAAAGACACCACAGAGTCTGCCACATCTTTTTATATTTAGATGTTTAACTGACAATAAGAGGCCAATTAAAAACTAAAAACGAGATGACTCCATCTTTTCCATTGTCAGCTTTCCTTATTTATGTAGAAATATACCACAATCACCTGCTTAGGGTGTTTATGTTTCCCTCATTTAAAGTCGGCATTTTGTAAATAAATTTTATGGTCGTAATAATGACCTTGTTAGCAAATGTTACCTATCATCAGGTCATATTTTGGTTGACTTGTTTCATACCAATTGTTAGGCCTTTGTTTTTTATGTACTGAATTGACTACAGATAGTTCCATCTGCCTGTGCATTGTCCAATATTTTGTAAAATTTTGTGTAATAGGGTGATATTTTCAATATATTTATGATTAATAAATGATACTAAAAGTATATTGTGTGTCTTGTTGTTTTATGATTATTTCACTTGATCATCATCTACATCATCATCTTGTATATATTTAGTTGAAACACAATTGGATACACATTCCTGTATTGCCCTATTCTCCCTTGGTTCTTTTATTGTGCTATTCATTGATCATTAGTTGACTTCTTCAATTAATGACTTTTTGGTATTTAATGCCTATGGCTATTTTACCTATGTGGTCATTTTCAGACATGTGATACATGTCATGTGGTTTGAAGAACCAATAGATTTACTTTATATATTTTCCCGCTTTTGGTGAACTGCCTTTGTTCATTAGAAAGTTAGATTCCTTAGAGGAAAGTTCTTATAATATATAATTATGTAGTGACTGTATCTATGTGAAGTCTGCCATATTTGAATTATCCTGATTGACCTGAAAGATGTACTGACAGATAGTAAGTGCACTCTATATTTTATTATCTTGATTAATATCTGATTTAATATTTCTGTAAATTATCTAATTTATGCATTTTCTATCATTCATGAGTAAATTCAATTGATTTGATCATCAAGTTTATTTCTTTTACTTTTATCATTCGACCTTAGTAATTAGAAATATCAGTTATCAATTTCATTGATGGGATCTGATTATTGATTCTGAAGTTATATAGTTAAATTATTATTTACAGTTGATATATAGTATATCCGAGACTTGATTCAGGCAGCTTATTGAGTTTAAGCCTTGTTCCATAAACAGGTGATTAATTGATAAGCATATGAAATATAATACTTTTATCATAGATAAATGTAATGTGAAATAGTTGCATTGAAATGTATATATTTATGGAGTAATATTGTATATGCATAATATTCATCATCAGAATTAATGTTTTTAATATATTTTTAATGCAGTCAAGGGAAATAACTTGTAAAGTACTTTAAACTTTAAGAAGATAGCAAGAGTTATCCTTCTTGTATTATACATATTCCCTTGCAAGTTTATTGTTGATTTTTTATGCTCAATATTGTTTATTCCTATTACAGGGCTTAAAACTATAACTACAACAATTATATTATCATTGTGTCCATCCATATCAACACTGAAGTATTTAATAATAAACGATGAACCCATAAGTGGTGTTATTCTTCACTAAAGGCCACTACTACAAACTTAACTTTTCACCTGCACCATAACAATTACTGTGCTATGTGTCCTACCTGCATTGTCCAATATTTTGTAAAATTTTGTGGTTAAAATGAAATTGCAAAGATCAACAAGAGGCCCATGGGCCACAACACTCACCTGAGTCACTATGGCCCTGCTGTTCTTCATCAACAGATGTTTTTAATTTGTAAAACATTGATTGTAGCCCCCACCCTAACCCTGTGGGTCATGCTTTGAGCAAGCTTGAATGTAAACTACTTGAGGATGCTTTCATATAAATTTCACTGATCATGGCTTTGCTATTCATGACAAGATTTTTATTTTTTTTTTTTTCCTATATACATTGCATTTCTATGTAAAACTCTGATCGCCCATTGTGACTCTACCCTAACCCCCGGGGGTCATGATTTTGAACAAATTTATCTATTAATAATGTACACTACCTAAGGATGCTTCCATATCGGTATGATCATGCATTTGCTGTTCTTGAGATGAAGATTTTTTCACTTTCTATTTTTATGTAAAACTTTGATTTCCTATTGTGGTCCTCCCCGCCCTTGGTCATGATTTTAAGAGACTTGAATCTACACTATAAATAAAGCTTTCACACAAGCTTTAACTCTTTTGCCCGTGGTTCTTGACAAAAAAAGATTTTTTGAAAGATTTTTCCTTTTTAGGTCACCTGAGTTTACTCAGGTGACCTATTGCTTTGTGTTTTCATCCATCGTCGTGTGTTGTGCATTAACAATTTTGAACATTTTCAGCATCTTTTCTGAAGTCGCTAAGCCAATTCTGGCATATAGGATCTATGGGTGAAGGGGAACAAAATTGTGAATTCATGGTCCCTATCCCCCTGGGGCCTGAGGTGTGGGGCCAAAATCACTAAAATTAATGCAATCTTTAAAAATCTTCTTCTTTACTCCTGGACATCAAGCAGTCAAACTGTTGGCATGATTGTAATTAGCATTGAACCCTCTTCCAAAACTATGAAATTCATGGCCCCAGCCGATCAAGGTGCTGGTGCTAGGACCAGGCTCTGTTGAATATATAGTGAAAATGCATTATTTCTTAAAAAATTACCTGTGCTTCCGGGTATTAAGCAAACAAAAAATATGCATAGTTATGATGAAGAACAGGGTACCTCTTCTAAAACTGTGAATTTCATAGCCCCTGGGTCAGGGGTACTAATGATTATATGTTGAAAATGCATTAATTCTTGAAAATGCATTAATTCTTTAAAAATCTTCTCATCTGCTCCTGGGTATTAAGCCGATTAACTAAGTACATAGTTATGATGAGGAAAAGTGCCTCTTCCAAAATTGTGAATTTTATGGCTCCTGGGTCAGGGGTTCTGGTGCTTTGGTGGGGTTCTATTGATTAATTTGCAAAAATGCATTAATGCTTTGAAAAACTTCTCCTCTGCCCCTGACAACTAAATGCAATATCAATTTTAATGTGCCTTTTTTTTGCTCCTGGGTATCTAGAAGGCAAACGGAGTACACAGTTGTACTAAGTGAAGCAAATGAGAGTTACTCCCCTTTGCTAGATTGTGTTAGTCAAGAAGTCCTTGTATATAATTTAATTAACAGGTTATTTGATTGAATGAGAATACAATAAAGAATGTTATATATATATATATATATATATAGAGAGAGAGAGAGAGAGAGAGAGAGAGAAACAAAATAAAAATGAATGTTGCATTTAAATGAGCAAATCATGCTCAAAGTAAGATTCTTGCCTGGAAAGCAGTATAAAAGATTGACATAAAGATTTTTTAAATATTTAGCAAATGTTGAAATTGTACAAAGCATGTATACACTGAGGTGACACTAAGGATGAGTTATTATCAATTAAAGTCAAGGTTGACAAGAGACTGGATAAAGATGTTTTATACTTGATCAAAGTGAACAAAGAATCACAGAAAGTCAGGGTGACTTGTTGTAATAGTGACAAAAGGCAAATAGCAATGTTGTATAGCGAAGAATTATTCACTAGGCAAGTGACATATATTGAATACCTTACACAAAAGGCAAGTGTCCATTGTATTTGTATATTTTGCATTCATTATCATCCCTTTAAGACTTGGGAAAACCAAGTATGATTCCAAGGAGACCATTCAGGTCTAGCACGCTATAATTTTACCAGATTTATAAAATTCTTGGGCAACATTGCTCGTCTATCAATTAATTTTGTTTTATACTTCAGTCTATGGATCCTTTACAGTGTTGCATTATACTCTGGTGACCGTTGAGGCCCTTGGGCCCCTTGTTTTAATAAAAATTCTCTTAATATGCACCTTTTTTTTTAATAAAATTCTCTTATAAATCTTATAAAAAGATTTTTATAAAACTTTGATCCCCTATTGAGGCCCCACTCTATCCCCATGGGGCATGATTTGAACTAATCTGAATCTACACTATGTAATGAAATTCTCATCTAAGTTTCAACTTTTCTAGCCCAGTAGTTATTGGAAACATTTTCAAAAGGTGCCTTTAAATTTTTTACCAATTTTTAATTTCTCCCCTTGAATTGGAACATGGCCTTTCATACGAATAAACTTGAATCCCCTTCACCTGAGGATGCATTGTGTTTGATTGGCACCTGAGACAAAATGTGATCAGTAAAGCTCACTTGAGCTTTCACCTCAAGTGAGCTTAAAAGAAAAACAACATCAAGAAAACGTTCGGAGAAAGAAAAGATTTTATTAAACAATGTATATTACATAACTGTTGAAGCAATTAGCATGACAATTTATGAAAGACAAATGGTATATAATCACATGAGTCTGGGTAAATATCTGTTTCAATCATTTTTTCAGCAAATAAAAAAGAAAATAATATACCGGGGTAATATATGCCTATAATAACAAGAGTGTTCCAAGGAATGCATGTGTTGCCTGCTTTATAGCATCATGAAAGACATAAATAAAATAATTACTGGTCATGCAGCTATTTATTTCCTACTACAATTTAAAAAAAAAACATCCAAGGATAGAGAGACTTTGATAGAATGGCAATTATTTTATGAAATGTGACAATGCAATAAAAATATGATTTCCCATCCCTCAAAGCTAAAATGAATAATGAAATCAAAATTATTAGAAATAATTATCGCCCAACAATCCCCCAGAGAGAGATTCACTCAGTCCGCCTTTAATGCAATTGTCAGTCTACAACTTTATTTAAAGTACGCTCCATTTTGGTATACTGATCCCTATGAATTTTCATAATATATTTAAATTTCAATTTGTGTGGTTATTGTATATTATACAATCAGTTTCAAAGTACAGTGTCATAAGCCCATTAACATAATTATACGCCTCTGCCTCTCAAAATTAACAAGTTTTAAATCAGCCATTTGAAGTATTTTAATTTGCAAAGAAGATTAGGTCAAAGGCCAATTTCAAAGGTACCAAGATGGATAACTTTCATATTTTATAAAAGGCTTATAAAAGCCATAGTGCCAAACTAATATATATGTGCACTATATTAAATCTATACCCCTTATGGCTCATAAGACATAAAATAATATGTGTCAGACAGATGGAAGTACAAGACATACGTTGGGTAAAGTGATACCCAAGTGCCTTTCTGCTCTGCAGGTGACACAAAAACTTGTTTCTATGCCCCCGTAATTGCAAATTCGGGGGCATATAGTTTTTTTTGCCCTGTCCGTCTGTCTGTTTGTCCGCAAAAACTTTAACCTTGCCCACAGCTTTTGATTTGTTGGAGCTATGGCTTTCATATTTCAGATGTGTATTCCGTGTGACAAGACCTTTCTTTGGAAACCATCATATTTGACCTTTTGACCTTGGAATTTGACCCAGTTTTGCAAAAATTTTACTCAACTTTAACCTTGGCCATAACTTTTGAACAGTTGGTGCTAGGGCTTTCATACTTAACACGTGGGAATTATTTCTTAAATAACTTGTAAAAATATATGTTGGTGACCTTGACCTTTGAACCTTTTACAAAATCAAGAGAGGTCATGTTTTATCTATGATGAGCATTGAAGTGAATCACACAACCATTTCATCGATCATCCTCACAATGTCAGGGGTCCTGTGTCAACTCGGTGACGTGGGAACCCTGACAAATTTCATCCGATATCTTACGGCAGCGACGTCTTTCAGGAAAATTGTGAATCTTGATGTTTTTCTTATCTATCAACCAATCACGTTAAACCTTTCGGTGATAAACAATGCGTAACTTTAGGTGTCAACTGATTTCCTTCTACTTATATCATCTGTCTACTTCAATTTGATTGGTGCTTCTCAATGTGAGTAGCAACCCCAAATAAAACCTGAAGAAATTAAATTTGTCAGGAGTCCCATGGCAATGAGTTGACACTGGGCCCCTGAGTGAGGATGCCATTTCATATCATCCATAGATATGTATTAACTTGTGACTTGTAACTTGTGACAATGACCTTTCACCTTTGGCCTCAAAATCAATATGGGTCTTATGATAGTCATTACTTTAAGTTTTATTGCAAAAGCTTTAAGAGATATGTAAATTTATCTAGAAATCATTTTTGCAAATATTTGACCATTGACTTTTTGACCTCAAAATCAATAGAGTCTTCTTGAGTCATAGGGAGTTATGAAATAAGTTTCATTGCAAAAGCTTATAAATGACATTTAGAGATAAATCAAGGAAATTGATTGATTGATTGTGTGTTGTTTTGCGTCCCGTTCGAGAATATTTCACTCATATTGAGACCTCACCATATACTGGTGAAGGGCTTCAAATTTAGACCTTCACTCAGCACTCAGGGCCATTGAGCAGTGAGGGTTCTTTATCATGCCATCGCCTACCGTGACATGGGGCCTCGGTTTTTAAGGTTTCATCTGAAAGACCAGCAACTTTCACTCCAAAGTGCCGAAGGAACAGATGCTACCTATTTTATATCAACTTAGGTCAGTCGTGGCCGTGATTCGAACACACAATCTTCTGATAATGGAGATTAAAGTGTTACAAACACAGAATGATGAATGGAAGTATAGACCCTTTCTCTACCAGTGCATTTTGAGCAACTTTGGAGATCTTTTGACATATCATTATAAATTAATTTCTAACTTTTTTATCCAAAGAGAAAGCTTGTCATAATGCACACCATTTTGTAGGGAATTTCTTGAAATGATATTACATTACTATTCAGATACCTCAAGACTGATATTACTAGTGGAAATAGAGGTCAAAAGTCAAATAAGTGCAAAATTTTGATCAAATTTTTGGACACTTCTAAATCTTCAACATGGTCAAGCTAAACATTTACATTGGGATATACTCACAAAAGGGCATTATACTGAACTACATTAATCACATGAACTTTTCTATATCAGTTCTGCATATATGATGACTTTAAAGGGGTTGCTAAGCAATGGGGTATTTTTTTCAATTCTCATTTTTTGCTCATCCTAGACACATTTATACATTTCATGATCATCACATTTTAAAGTCAGATATGGGGTCATAATATTGAAAGGTAAGTACAGCAATTAAATTTGTTTTGAAGTTTGATCTCATTAGATCTATCTTAAAGAGGTCAAATAAGTGCAAAATTTTATCAACTTTTTTTTAACATTTTAGCAAGAAAGGGTGGGGTTGAAAAAGAAAATATCAAAGAGGAACATTCTCTCATATATATGAATGAGGTAGAAAATCTAAAATAAAGCAAAAAAATTTAAACAATGTACAGTATATGAATACTGTTTACATATATGATTTGCAGCAATACTGGCACAATATGATGATGAGCACTTACCATAATGCGTATAATTTATATGGCACTAACTGGATCGATAAAGAAAATCCATGGACTAAATATAACAAAGGCTCCTTCATTCCAGTGATTACACATTACATACAATGTACCTTGATCCTTTCTGTGTACAAGTATTACATGCACGTACATAAATTTATATATTTTTAGCATTATAAGTAAAGGCACAACTGTAATGACTACAGTATGACTACTTCAGAAACTGCTACATATTAGAGAATTGTGACACTGAACATGACCTTAATATTTGATGTCAACAGCACCAGATAATCAAAACCTTTCATCTCCTTCACACTATTGTTGCAGACTCACCATTATCATTCTCAGAAATATCTGATGTCAACATATGCAGCACTAGATACTAAAATATAAATACATCTTCAGAATACTGTTGCAGACTAGAGCTTTGTTACACTTAATATTGGATGTTAACAGGAGCAGATATGCAACAGATATGCAAAAACTTTCCCTCCTTCACAATACTGCTGCAGACTTGGTATGCTTTTACACAATGGTTCCATAATCTTAATATCTCAAGTCAATATCAATTTCTTCAAAACCTTCTTTATTATCACTGATAAACCTCATGATCTGTTTTGCAGCACATGCATCGGCTCCCTCAACATCCAAAATGGCAGAATCTTCCTCTGTCCCAACATGCTCAGAGTGACAATATGTAATAACTACAGCTTTAACATTGCAATTTCTTTGTTCTTTGTATTCTTGGAAAGATCTTCTAATTGTTGCTGCCTCCTCTGTGTCAACTAAAGATGTCAGCAAGACTATTCCATCATAAGTCTCAATATTCTGCCTGGCAAAGAGAAAAGGAGCATTAAAATTGGATCTTTGAATATCTTCAGCCCTTTGGTGAATTCTTTCAAGGGCACTTTCTATGTCAAATACACTCTGGTCATGTGGCTGAAACTCAAATTTAGCTGCCACATTTCCAAATGTGACTGTTTCAGAACTGGTGGAATTTTGATGTACTGCTAATGCTAAGGCAGCTGCTGCTTCTTTTATAGGAAGGCATGAACTTCCAACCGAATCATTCATCTCTATTGCACTATCAATGGCCAATAGCAATCTTTTGTCTGTAGGAGGCAGAGCCTGTGTGTGCAAGAAAGACTGGAAAAGAGCCTTCACGACCCCTTCACTCACTGCCCACTTAATATCTTCTCCCTTTCTTTTCGTCTGCCCTGTTCTGTAAGCAGCCAGTGCTGTAAGTACATGAAATGGGTGTATATTTGACTGTTCCAAAATCATGGGATCATTCAATTTTTGACACACCATATTTTCTTCCTTACTGTTAGGTATAAGTAAACCCAGTCTAGTCATTTTCACAAGATTTCTCACAATTGCTGTCATTGGCATTTGTGTATGAAGCAATAAGGTTCTCCAGATTTCTTTGTACTCTTCTTTATATCTCTCTTTAAATTCTTCACATCTTTCTTCCTTTTTCAAAAACCTTGGAGGGATGTGCTCCCACGTAAGTCTCCATTTCTTAATTGTATCAATCACACAATCCAATGGGACATGTCCTGATCTTATTGTCTCATAGTCTCTCAAAAAATCTTCACATTTATCTGACATCACTTTAGTGTTGCCTGCTGAAGACTGAGGTGGGTATTTCTCATTAGCTTTCTTCAATCCCTTTGTAGCGTATCGAAAAATAAAATCAAATTTCTCATTTGGTGGCTTAGGATGACATGATTTTATCACTTTTCTTTGGCTGATTCCATAACGACATTTATATTTTGTCACATGTCTTGCAAACTGAATCATATCTTCCTTATAATCTTTGTTTTCAGTGTACCAGGCTGCTATAGCCTTTCTATGAGACCTAGGCCAGCCTCTGAGATTTACAGCATGTTTGCAGTAATAGTGGAAAAGGAATAAATGAGATGGTATTTTACAAACTTTATGAATCAGGAGGTAAGCTTGCTTGGAAACTTGTCTGTCAGCACATCTTGCACATTTTGCTAAAGCATATGCCACTGGGTAAAATTTGAAGTGCTTGCCAGATATTTTATCCAGTAAACTGATGATAGTCATTCCACTTCCATTTTGGATTAAACTGTATAAAGGAAAAAAAGATAATATTACAGATTTTTTTGTAAATATTGGAAAACTGTGGTATTTTGAGCATGAAGAACTGAAGGGATTCTAGACCTCCTTAGGATTGTAAAGTAGCCAAAATAGTACCTTGGAACCCCCCCCCCCCCCCCCTTACAAAGGATGGACCTCTTTTCAAATTGGTAAGAAAAGTCAAATACAGTTTTAGATAAACTTTCTTAAATCTCCATAATCTTACCTTAACCCTTTAACTACCAGAGATTTTGCATTTTTTCTGCAAAACTGACTAAAAAATTTCAAATAGAAATTTAAACATTTTCTATTCACTTTTGCATAAAGCAACCTATATATTTTCTGAAAGGTAATATCTTGAAGTATTTAAATATGCAGAGTAAAATGACGTCACGGTTGCTATGGCAACGAATGAAACCAAAATTGCCAAAATGTGTGTTTTTGTCCTATCAAATAAAATTGAGCAGTGTAACTTAAAAACTAATTGACTGCATGCTTTGTTTTTAATAGTATCACTAAATCCTCTGTTATAGAAGTATTATTTGTTAATTTGTTTGTATTTCTTGGAAGAAAAAAAACGGAAAAAAAGGTACATGTATAATATGTCACTAATGACATGTCAGAGTTATATCAGGGATTTATTGACAAGAAATAGTCCCCCATAAATCTTGTTCCTTTATGGTTTTGTGAGCAGTTTTTAAATTGAATATTTTATAATTATTGTTTTATTTGAATATCCTATAAAAATTGAATTTTTATAAATAATTTTTGAAGTTAAAGGTTCTGACCAAAACTTTTCTTAAAAGCTGACAAGTGACATACCTTTTAAAAGTTCTTAACCATTAGGCCTACAACACGATTCATCAAAATCAACAAGCATTCTGAGAGTATTGCATTAGAATACATGTACTAGTCCCCTACCAGCAAGTGTAATTTGATTCCCGTTAAGAATTGAAAATGCCATAATTCCATCAAAAATAAATGAAGCGGGACGAAATGCAAACTTGATCTATAACTACTCACGGTAAAGCCACATACCAAATATCAGCTCAATATGTACAAGCGTTTAAAAGAAAATTGAGGAAAACCCGTAAAAATTGAAAAGGCCGTAATTCCGTCAAAAATCAATGAAGCGGAACGAAATGCAAACTTGATCTGTAACTCATCAAGATACATTCACATACCAAAAATCAGCTCAATATCTGCAAGCGTTTAGGAAAAAAGTGCGAAAAACCAAGTGGGACAGACTGACAGACAGACAGAGGAACAGACAGACGGACAGACGGATGGACAGACTCAGAGGAAACCTATAGTCCCCTCCAGTTTCACTGGTAGGGGACTAATAAACAGTTAGTGCTGTCTTCTTGTGTGAAGATTTATTAGTCCCCTACCAGTGAAACCGGAGGGGACTATAGGTTTCCTCTGAGTCTGTCTGTCTAGCTGTCCCTCTGTCTGTTCCTCAGTCTGTCCCACTTGGTTTTCCACACTTTTTTTCCAAACGCTTGCAGATATTGAGCTGATTTTTGGTATGTCATTGTATCTTGATGAGTTACAGATCAAGTTTGCATTTCGTTCCGCTTCAATGATTTTTGACGGAATTACGGCTTTTTCAATTTTTCAGGGTTTTCCGCACTTTTTTTTCTAAACGCTTGCAGATATTGAGCTGATTTTTGGCATGTGACTTGACCTTGATGAGTTATAGAGCAAGTTCGCATTTCTTTCCACTTCATTGATTTTTGACAGAATTGTGGCATTTTCAATTCTTAACGGGAACCAGATTACACTTGCCGGTAGGGGACTAGTACTGCTTATGCAATACTCTCAGAATCCTTGTTGAACTTATATTATACACCTATTTACTGGCTATGAGGACAATAGCAAGTTTATCGTCCCCCTAGACAGCAACTATTTCCCAAGGCGCAGCCAAGGGAAATAGTTGCTGTCGAGGGGGACGATAAACTTGCTATTGTCCTCATAGCCAGTAAATAGGTGTTTTATTATACTATAGTACCGAAGCTGACTTTACAGGGATAGACATTAACTTTCAGATTCACTTGACCTTGGGCAAGTGAACTCAAACTTTGACTTGTCTGAATGCAAAACTTGGTTGCCCAAAATTTAGAAAGAAGCTTTAAGGGAAACCGGTAACACCTGTACGAAATGTTCCACCTGGAATATAGGGGGAATAGAGGCGTACTTGGAGAAGGGATTCCGGGCGTCAGTTTGTCTCAATACATATATGGTGATATACAGGTTCGTAATACGGGCGTAACCCAAGGGAAACCAAGAGGAAATGAGCAGGAATTTGAGGTGAAAAATGCAAATGAGCTACGCCCGGAAAAATAAATGACACCTGGAAAAAAATTACGCCTGGAAACTAAAATCAGAGCTCCAGATAATGCGCGTATTTGCAGAAATATGCATTGAATTTTTCAAAATATGCATTAGAAATTAAATAAGGGAGTACAATTACGCATTAGCAATCATAAATAGGCATTACACTACGAAAGTACTGCGTACGACGGATTGAATGATACAAGTTTAATTGATTATGTGAATTGAGGGCAGCTCAGTGTTTGAATTTTTATCTAAAAGAAATTTTGATTTATAAGCGTATTCGGAATAACATAGGTCGATTTCCCGTTCGGGAGAAAGATTTGAATATTAAATATTCATACTTTGTCTAAAAATATCATATTTCCACTGTTCATAAAACATCCAAATTTTCGTTCTTAACACTTACGTGCACGTCGATATTGTCACAATTGTGCAAAACACGCATGGTGTCTAATTTATCTTTTATAACAGTTTATTAAACTGTTCTTATATATTTACCATTTTCTGTAGCAATAATGTCATCTAAAGTCCGCCGACAACCTTTATTAATTGTACGAAAATAATTCCTTTTTTGCTTTCGACATGCTCCTGTGCTATAAATAGCGCATCGCGACTTTTAATTAATGCAAACGGGGAGTATCTCCTAAACTATTGCCTCGATCGATTCCAATATAGCAAAACCTAATATATATTTTTGATTTTAAAAAAGGGGGGGGGGGGTGGGCGGGACATTTTGAGACGGTCAGGTGAGGATGAGAATCTAAAGATTAATTTTATCTGGCCAAAGGAAGGATATTTTTCTCGGTAAACTCTTGCTACGATCGATATAGGCCTAATCTTAAATGGAGTTCTGTGTGCCCGTGGTAACTTTGCCTACCGTATGGTCTTTCTGTTGAAAGAATTGAAATGTTTCTCGGTTATGATTAAAAGCTGACAATTTTTTTTAAAAATTTCAATAACCTACATGTAATTGATTAATGCAGAAACTGTCCGTTTTTACATTACTCTTTCAAAAACACTTATTTCGATAACAAGCTAAAAATCACATTAGATGTCAAAAGAGCAATAGATTAACAAAATACTCTTTGATTATTTTGGTGAAAAGCAAAATCTGCATTGATTTGAAAATCAGGGAGTAAATACTCTTTGAGGTAAAAAATTATCTGGAGCTCTGCTAAAATGACGCCTGAAGCAGAATTACGCCTGGAAAGTCCTTATTATTATATAATACTATGTGACCTAAAAACCTATATAACCAAGAAAAAACATTTAGGTTATGATTTACAATGTTAAAGTTAAAAATTTAGCCTTTTGAACTGGAAGAAAACATAATGACAGGTCATTAACATAGTATAGAAATATAATTTATAAAAGCCATTTCAATTTTTTGTGTAAGGGACACTGTCGAACACCACCATGAGTGTAAAATAATGTTTAAGAATTCAATAAACCTTTTAAAATACATTTTATCACTTCAATCATTACACTGAAACAAATTACTTAATACAGTTCTTCATTTATTCATTACTTTACAGTTCAAATGCCTCTATCAGACTAACTCAAAATATCTAAAGTAAAGAGTCAATAAGTTATAACTTATGATCATTGTACATAATCATAATCAAAGGATCTACTCAAGTTGATACCAGATATTAATTATCTCACCTACCAGCAGTTACTGTGTCATCCAGAACAAGTGTAAAAGCCTTAACATTGATATCTGTATTCCCTATTTCACTCACACTAAACTCCCTCCTTCCTGATCAAATTCAATCTTAACCTCCTATCTGAAATGACCCTTAATACGTTTTATTTCCATTAGTGAACTCTTCAAAATTAGAGGCGCGTTTGGTCGTCTGACTGGGACGGCATGGCGTTGCGGATAATACAAAATATGCCAATCTCAATCCAATTTTAAATGTTAAATGTATTTGTCATTCCAATTAAAGAATAGAAGAACTAAAAGACATATGTAAGAGAGCGAGAGCCCTAAATTTATCATCCATTAATAAACAATACAATATTTCCGAGGCATGTGTATTGTATTAGATGTACCATACGATAAATAGATACGTACGATCAACAATAGATATTAATTGATATCGTTGTCATTCCTACTCTTGATGTTTATAAAGTCCACAACAATAAAATACTTCATTTGCATTTTGTTAGGATTTGTTCATCAACATTCAACATATTGTTTACATGTTTATGTTACGTTTGTCCCAGAAATCCCGCGAGATTTGTACATTTTCCGACTTTTTCACAAAAGAGCGCACTAAGAAGTATAACTCTTCCATAGTGGAAATAGAACGTATTGATAATTAAATTGACCAATCGGACGCTTTTCCTCCTCCTGAAAGTTCCAGGCGTAATTTTTGTTCCCATTTTCCTGCCATTTTACGCCAGGAAAATCTGAACTTGCCAATTGACGCCCGGAAAGTAGAAATGACGCCTGGAAGACACCTCTTCTACTCAGGCGTAACTTTTCAAAAACTCCGTCTCCGCCTCAAGTACGCCTGGGATTTGCCAATTCCTGCTAGATTCCACCCATATTCCAGGCGGAATCCGCCTTTAAAATTCATACAGGCATGATTTATTATTGTAAATAAAGTATCAGACTGATCAATGGCAGTTCCAGGATTTTTGGGGAAAAAAAGGGGGGTCGGGGTCCAGGGGAAGGGGGGACCCCGAAAGTTCTCAGGTTTTAGGGGTGTTTTAGGACCCTTCCCCCCTTAAACAGTTAAATCCGCCAGTGCTAATTAATCTGATGAGGAAAATTTCACTAAAATTTCTAGTATTTATATTAAACCTTCATTCAAATCAGAAAATGATGTTGTCCTAGAGAGTTATTTATCTTAGTGTAGTCTACTTGTGTATAGAGGTATGTTTTCAATGAATTTCACAGAAATTCAGACAGACAGACGGGCGATATACACCTTACTATATACCATATAATAACTTCAAAACACATGTAATGATGTATGTCTCGATAAAGCGAAAGTAGAAATTCTTTGTCATGTTCTCTTATAATGAAAATACATATACCTATCAATAGCCCCATCTACTTCATTTCTGAGAATTTCTACAGAAGGCCTCTTAATTCTGCCATTGACCCCAAACATAAGAAACTTCCAAACACATTTCTCCACCGAGGAAGCAGCCATTTTTCAACACCTATGGCGAGCAATTTTCGTCAGAATTTGAACAATCGACGAAAACTTTCAGCCTTCTCCTAAGCCTTGCTTAAATTAATCTGGTAAGAGGCTGGTTCATGGTTTGGCTTGAAGCTTGTTTGTTCCCTTCCAGTGTCAGGAGTTCATGAATGCTGTACACAGTTGCTAATCCTTTAAATAGTTTTCTTTGTTCTTTAATTCACAATAACCAAAAAAAAAGGGGGGGGGGGGGTATTTTTCAAATCCGACATCTTAAGCAAGTTTGAGAGTGTTCATCCCTTGATACATCATCCATGCAAGTTTGGTTCAGATAGCTAAGACTTATAGTTTCTTGGTAATGGACCTGCACCAAAAACTTTAACCTGGTCACTCATTTGGAAAATGTCGGTCAAATACAGCATTCGAAGCAAGTCCAGTAGTGTGCATCCTTGGATGTATCGTCGAAGCAAGTTTGGTCAAGGTACGGCAAATAGTAACTTAAGAAAGAAACTGATCCAAAAAATTTAAAGTGGTCCCTCATCTGAAAAATGTAGGTCAGATCCAGCATCCAAAGCAAGTCCAGTAGTGTGCATCCTTAGTTGTAACACCCATGCAAGTTTGGTCAAGGTATGGCAAACAGTTACTTTAGAATGAACCTGCTCCAAAAACATTAAACTGGTCACTCATCCAGAAAATGTAGGTCAGATCCAGCATCTGAAGCAAGTCCAATAGTATGCATCTTTAGATGTATCCAGAGCTCCAGATAATTTTTTACCTCAAAGAGTATTTACTCCCTGATTTTCAAATCAATGCAGATTTTGCTTTTCACCAAAATAATCAAAGAGTATTTTGTTAATCTATTGCTCTTTTGACATCAAATGTGATTTTTAGCTTGTTATCGAAATAAGTGTTTTTGAAAGAGTAATGTAAAAACGGACAGTTTCTGCATTAATCAATTACATGTAGGTTATTGAAATTTTTAAAAAAATTGTCAGCTTTTAATCATAACCGAGAAACATTTCAATTCTTTCAACAGAAAGACCATACGGTAGGCAAAGTTACCACGGGCACACAGAACTCCATTTAAGATTAGGCCTATATCGATCGTAGCAAGAGTTTACCGAGAAAAATATCCTTCCTTTGGCCAGATAAAATTAATCTTTAGATTCTCATCCTCACCTGACCGTCTCAAAATGTCCCGCCCACCCCCCCCCCCCTTTTTAAAATCAAAAATATATATTAGGTTTTGCTATATTGGAATCGATCGAGGCAATAGTTTAGGAGATACTCCCCGTTTGCATTAATTAAAAGTCGCGATGCGCTATTTATAGCACAGGAGCATGTCGAAAGCAAAAAAGGAATTATTTTCGTACAATTAATAAAGGTTGTCGGCGGACTTTAGATGACATTATTGCTACAGAAAATGGTAAATATATAAGAACAGTTTAATAAACTGTTATAAAAGATAAATTAGACACCATGCGTGTTTTGCACAATTGTGACAATATCGACGTGCACGTAAGCGTTAAGAACGAAAATTTGGATGTTTTATGAACAGTGGAAATATGATATTTTTAGACAAAGTATGAATATTTAATATTCAAATCTTTCTCCCGAACGGGAAATCGACCTATGTTATTCCGAATACGCTTATAAATCAAAATTTCTTTTAGATAAAAATTCAAACACTGAGCTGCCCTCAATTCACATAATCAATTAAACTTGTATCATTCAATCCGTCGTACGCAGTACTTTCGTAGTGTAATGCCTATTTATGATTGCTAATGCGTAATTGTACTCCCTTATTTAATTTCTAATGCGTATTTTGAAAAATTCAATGCATATTTCTGCAAATACGCGCCTTATCTGGAGCTCTGTGTATCATCTATACCAGTTTGGTCAACATACATGTAGGGCTTATAGTTACTTTGAAATGAATCTGCTCCAAAAACTTTAACCTGGTCACTCATCCGGAAAATGTAGGTCAGATCCAGCATCCGAAGCAAGCCTGGTAGTGTGCATCCTTAGATGTATCATCCATGCAACACAGGACTTTTAGTTACTTTAGAATGAACTTTAACCTGCACCAAAAACTTTAACATGCTCCAAAAACATTAACCTGGTCATTTTTTAGTTGAAATTACAGCATCTGAAACCTTTACTGGTACAATGAAACACACTATAGAAGCATCTTCCGTGCATCTCTGATTATTGTAGGGCATAGAAGCTCCTCTCGATCAAAATTTTGTGATGAATTAGGCTGGGATCTTTTATGAACAAAGAGGAAGGTTAAAAAATTGATATTATTTTATAAAATTATAAAATGGCTATTCACCTCAATATTTGTATGACTTGATCAAACCTTATCGTCCATCAAATCACTCCTATAACCTCAGAACAAATGATGCACAATTCAAACTTCCCCACATTAAAACTACATCATACATGGAAAGTGTCCTTCCACCAACAATTAAACAGTGGAATAACTTGCCAGACTATGTTAGAAATGCTTTTTGAATATCTTCATTTAAGAGTTTTTCTTCATTCAAGAGTTTTTAAATTCTTATTTTTGTAAAAAAAAAAAAAAAAAAAAAAAAAAAGGTAATGAACTTTTTTTCATTTTGGAATAAGAAAGTACAATATAATATATTGTCAGTTAAGAAATAATGCAAGTACATGTAGTTTGATGGCAGACTTACATAACCAATGTTTATCAGAAACGCCAATGTGTGAACACTTTACTGATTCTGTTAAAGATGTTTAAATTACCATGATTACCTTTTTTGCTTGTCCCAAAATATGCATCTCCTAGAGATTTACTCTTCCAAATAATCCAAAATATTATTAATTGTGATCAGATCTTTGAACTTGAATTATTATTATATGGGACCAGTGGCGGATCCAGGAATCTTGAAAGGGGGGGGGCGACCAGTTTGGGGTCGGGGTAGGGGCCCACGGCCACACCAAAAAAAATTTATTAAATCTTATGTATATATTGGAAACAAAAGGGGGGGGGGCGGGTCCCCTGCCCCCCCCCCCCCATTAAATCCGCCAGTGGGGGACTCAATATTGATATTCAAATATTTGAAGCAGAACATCCATATATAGCAGCAATAAAACGTTTTATTTGAACACAGTCATGCATTGTCAATATTTTCTAAACTACGAAAGCTTAATAGGGTCAAATAAGAAAACGGGAAAAGTTGTTATTACAAGATAAAAATTCGTTATAATAACGACTATAAGAAAGTCGTATTAAGTAGATAAAAAAGTCGTTTTTACAAGATGAAAAGTCATTATTACGGCTTAAGAAATAAATTTATTTTAAGTCGTAAGAACGAGATAAAAAGTCGTTCTTACAAGATAAAAAGTCATTATTACGACTTAAGAAAGACGTAATAACGAGATAACAAGAGATCCAAGGGCCTTCTTAACGGTCACCTGAGTAATATACAACACTGTAAAGGATTCACAGAAGTATAAAACAAAATTACCTGATAGACGAAGCAATGTTGCCCAAGAATTTCAAAAATCTGGTAGAAATACCCTTGCTTATTGTAACTTGCGAGATCCAAGTGATCTCCATGGAATCGTACTTGGTTTCCCCCAAGTCTTATAGGGATGATAATGAATGCAAAATATACAAATACATGTACAGTGAACACTTGCCTAATGTGTAAGGATTTCAATATATACAGATATGTTTCTGTCACTTGCCTAGTGCTATAATTACATGTAAGTATATAAAAAGAAATCTCTAATGCCTGTATATTTACTCGAGGTGATGCCTCTGTGCTACACAAACAACTTAGCTGCTTGCAACTTGGTAACACTTGGTACCAACATTTGCTTCTTGGCTATACAAAAAACTTGTTACCAGCACTCTCCACTTGGCTTAGTATACAACATGGCTATTTGCCACTTGTCAGTAACTACAGCAAGTCCCCTAGTCACCCTGACTCTCTGTTCACTTGTTCACTTCGATAAAGCATAAAACAACTTTTTGCAGTCTCTTGCTAACTAAACTCTGATCTCCATGAAGTTACCTGACAAAAAGTTGTCAATTTCCAGCAGAACACTACAGTATACACATACTAAGTACAACTGGCCCTTTTGCTACATAAATAATCTTTATTTCAATCTTTAAGAATGCTTTTCAAGCAAGAATCCGACTTAGTGCATGCTTTGCTCATTTAAAACATTCATTCTTATTTTGTTTCTATATATATAACTTCTTTCTTGTATTCTCATTCAATCAAATAACCTGTTAATTAAATCATATACAAGGATGTCTTGATTTAACACAATGTAGCACAGGGAAGTAACTCACATTTGCTTCAGCTCTTACAATTTTGTACTCTGCCTCCTAGATACCCAGGGGCAGAGAAAAGGCACATTTACTAATATTTACACATTTACATATGCATTTAGTCTGTTTGCATAATACCCAGAGGCAAAGGAGAAGATTTTCAAAGTATTAATGTATTTTTGCTATATAATCATTAGAGCCCCGCCCAAACATCAGAAACCCTGACCTAGGGGCCATGAAATTCACAATTTTGAAAAATGCACCCTTGCTCATCATAACTATGCATTTAGTTTCTAGCTTAATACCAAGGGGCAGAGGAGAAGATTTTCAAAACATTAATTCATTTTTAGTATAAAATAAATAAGCCCCCTCCCACAATACCCCTGACCCGAGGGGGCATCTTTCACAATTTTGAAAGAGGTACCCTTCCTCATCATAACTATGTACTTAGTTCATTGGCTAAATACCCAGAAGCAGAGGAGAAGATTTTCAAAGAATTAATGCATTTTCACTATATTATCATTAGAGCCCTACCCTAATACCAAAATTCCTGACCCTGGGGCCACATTTTTTAAATTATTTAAGGAGGCACCCTTCCTAATAATTCTTAAATTTTACTTTGTTCATGGCTTAATACCAGGGAACAGAGGAGATTTTCAAAGAATTAATGCATTTTCACCATATAATCATTAGAGCCCCGCTCTGACACCAGAACCCCTGACCTAGGGGCCATGAAATTCACAACTTTAGAAGAGGCAACCTTCCTCATCATAACTATAATTTTACTTAGCTCATCTGCTTAGTACCCAGGAACAGAGGAGAAGATTTTCAAAGCGTTAATGCATTTTAATTTTTAAACAAATAATCATTAGTGCCCCGCCCTAACACCTGAAACCCTGAAACAGGGGCCATAAAATTAACAATTTTGGTAAAGACGACCTTTCTCATTATAACTATGCATTTAGTTTGTTTGCTTGATACCCAGGAGCAGAGGAGAAGAATTTCAAAGAAATAATGCATTTTCACTATATATTCAACAGAGCCCCGCCCTAGCACCAGAACCCCTGACCCTGTGGTTATGAATTTCACAATTTTTGTAGAGGGCTCAGTTCTTATTACAATCATGCCAACAATTTGACTGCTTGATGCCCAGGAGTAAAGAAGATTTTTAAAGATAGCATTGATTTTGATGGTTTTAGCCCCATCCCTCAGGGAGCAGCGGCCATGAATTTCACAATTTTTACTCCCCTTTACCCATAGATGATATATGCCAAAATTGATTGAAATTGGTTCAGTGGTTCCAGAGAAGGTTTTTTAGATTTCTCGTACCAAACCATTACTACATTGTATTTTTCCATTTTTTTTTTCTTGTCTCTTTTTCTACAATGTTTGTTATATTAGCATAATAACTATATATAGTGTATTTATCTTGACTTTGTTGTAGGGAGAGGAATAAAATAAGCTTTGCCTGCTGCCCAGTCCAATCACTTTTGGTGAAAAAAATAATGTAGAAATATGAAAAAAAGAAGTACCCAGAAGCTCTCAGAGAGTTTTTAGGAGTTTTATTGAACAGTTTAAAAAAAACAAATAGGTATATTTTACGCATAATTAATACAATATCCGTTACCAATGAAATTGATTTATCAGTCTTATTTATATTTTTTGTCACGAAGGGTCCCGGGGGGGGGGGGGGGTTACATTAAAAAGGTGAAAATAACGAACAATGACCAATTTACAATTACGTACGGACCCTTGCAAGGAAACCAGAAGACTGGGCATTGGGTATACTGACGATGTAACGGTCTTCTTTCCATCAACTTATCTGAAGTATATTTAAAATAAAATGCTTTCTTTGGTTGTTAGTACGGGAATTAATATTGCAGCTGTTGCAGAAAAAAAGTACATAACCCGCGTAAGCGGGTTATGTAAATTTTTTCTGCAAGAGCTGCGACGTTAATTCCCGTAATAACAAACAAAGAAAGACATTTTATTGTTTATATTTATATCTGCATAAAAAAAAAACATTCAAAGTAAAATTAAATACATTTATGTTAAATATTGTATAAGAGAAGTGTATGTCATTTATTGTATACATAATTGACGGAACAGCCTTTACTCAAGAAATCTATGCAGGTGGCTAGCTTAGTGTCGTTTACTGACTGATGAACGACAATGGTTTTCATAAGAAATAAAGGGAATGATAAGCAGTGGATGTAAATATATCTTTTTCAACAAGTATAAATATATCTTTTTCAACATCGTATAACGTTACTTGTTACAAGTTTCTTAGACCCAGTTTCATATGCATATAAGGGTTTTTCCATTTTAATATTGATTTTCTATAGTCAAATTTTTGCTATCAGAAAATCATTTTTTTTTTTTGATATCAAAAATATCTCAGTAATATTAAAACAGCACCTCATAATAAATTGATTTTTTGATTCCAGAATTTTTTTTTTTTTTTTTTTTTTTTTTTTTTTTTTTGTTGATATCAGATACATGTAATAACATTTTTTGTTATAAAAATTTCGAATTTCTGATATTAGAAATTCAACAAAAAATGCGTAAAGGTTCATTAATTATTTAATATAATTAAATTTCCACCCTGATTTCGCAACTAACATTGTATAAAAATTAATTTATCAAAAGTAATCTGATGTTTTCAGATTGTTTTTCTTTAATATCTATAGTTACATGTACATCAAAAATGTAAACGGTTACCTGTCTCGTAGTTTATATTCACGTTTTGAGCAAAAGTTGAATAAGAGTTTATAGAGGATATAGATTTTTGTTTTCTAAAGGTGACATGCAAAATAAGTCATTAAACTTGTAGTAAGTACTTAAAGTAAGTAGGTTTCTACAATACTTTGGTGATTCCAAAATTCCTTAAGAGGTTATGAATCTCTTCCAGTTGATTTTTTTGTTACAATCTAAGGAAGCTTCAACACTTATCTGTGAATAGGAGACTTCAGGCACGTAGTATCAGGTGGGCCAGAGGGGCCTGCCCCCTTTCTCCCAAACATAACCTTTTATTATTGAAAATGTTCATTTAAAGTTTGGTTGTTCTCCCCACCCCTACTTTTTGTTGTAGAAAAGTTAAGTCCTGGTAATTTGGTAATGCATTTAGAAAACTTAAAATTTGGCTGTAAAGAAAGTTGAAATCTTTCCCCCATCCCCACCACTTACCCCCGAAAAAGGATTCTCGACTTTTGACAATTTCCTCTTTTTTTTCTTGTAAATTGTCAAAGGAGTATTCTTCTTAAGTATAGTAGCGTGGTCCCTTTTTACACCCTTGGTTTACCGGTTAAATATTAGCATACGGTATTTTGTTTCTTTTCATTGTGTACAACGAAGTATTTCTAATTTAAACATTGTGTATTTATAATAAATAATTAAACATATCAAAAAATACAAGCCTATTTTTAACACCTATCGCACTAAAAAATGCCGGAACATTTTCACCCGATCAGACTACGGTTTCTCTATTACATGAAAATGGGCGGAGACATTTAGATTAGATACTATATAAAGAAGATCTTGGTATACTATTTTTCTTTCAAAGACGAATTATATATTCACAATCAACTACAAATACAGTTTTCCATTTACAAAACTTTGGCAATAAAAGTTATAACAAGATGAACCAAACAAGTCCATGCTGATCGACATAAAACTGAGTACGTTTCAACTGAGAACTAGCACTTTTACTGGGGGCACTTACCCGTAACGACACAAGTCCACGTGGCTTGTTATGATTCTAAACAGGTCATAAAGAGGTTAATCGCATGTAAATGAAGTCAGCGAAGAGATTCAAAATCACAATACTTTTAATTAGAAAACATAGAGCACAAGGTTGTTCAACAAAGATATTTTCACTCAACCTTGACACATATAATATACACATTATATTTCAAACTCGACTCTGAACAAACCTGTGCTCGGTGTTTACGAAAGCTTTGAAGTGTGTACATGTCACTGATTTCTTTTGATATTCATGAAAATCAAAGGACCTACCTTAAAAGCGCAGCTTCGTATGCTGCCTATATCTATTGTTTGACATTTTTAGATGATGATTCAAGTAATAAAGACATTAGTTAATGATAAAATTTATTTTTTAAAAAAAAATAATAAATGTTCGAAATTTGACGAGTAACCGGGGACCACAGATAAGCCTTATTGAGAGTTGTTCTTTTTCTTCTGGCTGCCCCTTTCAAAAACGATAAGTACTACGTGCATGGACTTTATCTATTTGCCACTCTTATGTGACCCCAATCTAGTCCTATCCATCCGAAAGTATTTAAAATTCAAGAAATAGTAGATTTTTTTCCCAAGAAGGGCATTTACATGCTATATAAAAAACAATCTTTTGTCTCATGTATAATACGATTAATCTATATTTTGTTCTTTTTAGAATAGATCGCCTTCTTTGATCCAGGGCAGGATATGTGTGAATTTAAAATTAAACAGTTATTTTAGTGAACATGGTGTAAGGAACAACATTTCCTGGAGCTATGTAGACATATTAACTATAGAATAAATGCTGGTCATAATATTATATACCAGACAATACTCTGATAACAACATGATCACTCTTTTAAAAGTATACGCTTGACATCAATCTATCTGTTGTTTTCATTTTAAATTCTTTACAGACTACTTGCATATATTTTAAAAATACCTTTGGAAAAAGCAGTGGCTCACACCTTTGCGATTTATAGACTGTAAAATACACACACACACACACACACACACAGAGAGAAAGAGAGGGGACAAGGACTCTGTGTACACGGTTACGCAAGCCCACTATGGGCCAAGTCCACTGTTTCAGTAATGAAAAAGGCATATCCATCTTTTAGATTATGCTGGCAACAGTTTTCATTTGAATCTGGAATATTCGTTGTTTTTCTAAAATTTTCTAGCGTTTTCTGCGCATGCTTATATAAAAATAACACAGTGCGTGGTTATGTAAATCAATCGATAGCGTCGGTAACGTTAACTGAAGCTCACTTCATTTAAGAAAATCCAAAGAAAACAACCATGTCGCTGGTTCCTTTGAATTTTGAGAAAAATTCACTCTTCTCAAAGTTTCAGAGTGAGTTTGATAAGAGTTTTGAAGATTTCGAGAAAGAATTATTCAAGTTGAGCCCATGGGAACAGGACAAAGATCCATTTGATTTGTCTCATTTTGGGAAAAATATGCTGGAACTGGAGAATCCCATCGTAGAGGATAAAAAGGGAAGTAAGAAACTGCATCTGAAATTTGACTGCAGTCAATTCAAACCAGAGGAAGTCACTGTGAAAACTATGGATGGAAACAAATTGACAGTGCATGCTAAGCATGAGGAATCTGGCAAAGGACAAAAGGTTTATAGAGAATTTACCAGGTCTTATGTACTCCCAGAGAGCGTTGATGCGGGAAAACTGACCTCCACATTGTCCTCAGATGGTCACCTGTGTATTGAAGCACCTGTACCAAAACACGCGACCAAGGCCATAAAATCATGACATTTCTTTTTCATTTACAGTGTTGAATTTGAATCATTTCTTTTTTTGTGTTTGGATATTGTCTCATAATATTGGTAAGAAGTCTTACGAGCTCGAATTGTCCATTTTTTTTTAACTTTATACAAGAATTTATGCTTCATGAATCAATAAATTTTTTTCTAAATATTTTATTTTTTTGTCTTAACATAAAATGGCGATAAAAAATATCAGATGTCTAATGCACATGCATCTGTATTTAACTCATCTATAATGTTAATGACAAAAATTTTACCTACTTTTTTTTTTAAAATTCAATAAATCAGATCACTGGTACAAGAGGTGCATTTATTACATTTTCAACAGTAAAATACTGTGATTTATTTATTGAATAAAAGTGATATTCTCTCACAGTGTGAAAGGATACCAAAATAATATTCTCTCACAGTGTGAAAGGATATCAAAGTAAGTAAAAAATAATTTCTGGCCTGTCATAAGATAGAGATAGTACCTAAGCATCTTGATAGAGCTAAAACTGCAAATTTCTTAATATAAATATATTGCTAAAATCCATGCTATGTAATGTTTTCAATCACACAACTGCTAAACTGTGACGTCTCAACCGCTCAACTATGACGTCAAGCCTATGACACTGTGTTAAGAAAAAACAGAGGCAAAGGGAAAATCAAAGAAAATGTAATAAACAGAAAATTCAATGTTTTGTAGATGAATATGGAATTTATTTCACTCGTGAGACAGGATTTTTTGATACTTTCACTCGTGCTTCGCACTCGTGAAAATATCAAAAAATCCTGTCCCACTCGTGAAATAAATTCCATATTCATCTACAAAACATTGAATATCCTCTATATATACACAAACTTGGTATAAATACAGTTTAACACAAATAACAGGCAAGGGTCAATATATACAAGTATATGCATAAAGGAAAAAGAATTTAAAAAAAATCGGTAGTTGAGAGTTCAGGAATTAAGTACAGACATTTGAAATTTATTTTAAAAAAAAAAATTCAAATTTTTGTATCTCTACATTAATTGCTTGTGTTAATTAGTCCTTTCTCTACACCAAAGAAAGAAAATGCCGCTGACACAAAGATTATTGGTGGTGGCGGTACGTAACAATGGTAGTATATTTCATATAGTACTGTACCTATGCAATTTTTTTTACCGTGTTATTCTCACCCAGCAGCTCAAATATAATGATGTCAACAATTATCTTTGTTGTCGCTATATATGTATAATCGAGTCATCCTCACAACGTCTCGAGTCCACTCGTGGATGTGGGACTCGAAACCCTTGACGCTGTGAGGATGATCTATTGGCTACTCAAGTCAAGGTTATAGACTCGGTATTGTCTATTGACTATTCTAAGGTTACCGGAAATGCCCGTCGTGACAGAATATATTGCAAAGCAGTTTTAAATATTGAACCAGTAGTTTTACATAATACGAAGTGACGAATGTATACACTCATTTCTTCTTTAAGTATATATTTAAAGTCAACAGGGAAAAACAAATTTGTTCCGCTTTTCTGCATGCATCGTATTCGTTCAAGTAAACAAAGCTTTTTAAATATAATAAGGGTCATGGACGAGCAGCGTAAATCTGACTCTCTGGCCAATGACCTTCCATATCGGCGTAATCTAAAACATAGACTGTGTACCAGTTATGTCTGGAAGAGTTGACTAGAATATTTAAACTCCAGTATGCTGTTGACCTGATGGTAAATCATCTTGTTCTGTTGATGCGATAGCCTAGTTGTTACTAACAAAATTGGTCGGAACTGGTGTGTTCTGCATTCCCTGAGTCTCCCGTTTGATCCGCCAATAATTGTAATATGGTTCAAGTTTTCCACGTTATACCCCGCTCTCTGGCGTGAGGATGACATCTTGGAAGGATTCAGAATTTACATGTTATGTAAATACGCATGATAATGAATGTTAAAGAGTTGGTGTATTATAACCATTCACTTGATCGATGAATACAATTATACATGTAATTATATTTCGGCACAGGAGTCGGCAGTTTTATCCATAAAACAACATAAACAACAACCAGTGAGCTTAGCGAGCTAAGCGACAGGAATGCAACGCGTTTTTGGCGAATTCTGCTCTGACGCTTTATTTAATAAAACTAACAACAACACGCGGTATAATTCATGTCAGTCGATGTTTCTAACCTGATTTCTGGTCCGACTACTTTCTCAATTGCCGTACTAGACGCTTAAATCCAACGTTAAAGACATCTCGAAAAGAATCAGTCACCATGAGGGTCTGCGTGACGTCACACCATTCGTTCCTGAAGCATTTCGAGTTGATTTTTTAAGAAAGTTATTTAAAAAATATATTTAACGTATAATCTATGAAATTTTACGTCTGTTATTCTTTTTAAAGTAATACGTTAGTGATTATTGATGTTTAAATGAACGTAATAGTTTATTTGACTTAAAACACCTTTTAAGAATAAAGGGAGATAATTTCAAGGTTTAATGTCGTGTTGGACTTTTCTGTCATTTAAAAGCTTTTTCCCACTAAGCAATAATTTTACTTTTTAAACAAAATTGCAAATTTTAATAGATTAGACGTTATATTTATATTTTTTTTCACCTTTTAAGTGGATAGCCTTATTTCTTTGCATATCCGATTTCGCTAATGTATGCTAACTAAATAACTTGAAAATAATACACCATGTTCATTGAAGAGATCCAAAAATTAAAGGCCACAATAGATGAGAACAGCTGCGTACCAGGTTATCTAAATATGTGATATCATCTTTTCGAATACCAGGTTATTTAAATAGGTGATATCACCTTTTCGAATAGGTGATATCACCTATTCCTATAGGTGATATCACCTATTTGATTTGAATTAGTGATGTCACCTATTCAAATAGGTGATATCACCCTCATAAATTACCCCAAAACTGACTCTTAGTAAAAAATATATATATATAACTTCACAGTGATCGATAACATATGGTATTTTAAATTATGCAGACTATAACACAGGGGAAAAGGGCAGCAAGAATTTGCTTAGGGTAAATCGAAATCTAGTTTTTCGTATGTAAATTGAGTTGTTCTATGGACATTTTTACGTACTTATAACTTAAGAACAAAGCCCCCCCCCCCCCCCCATTTGATTCCTTTGAGCCCAAAATGTGATCTTACAGAGAATCTTCAGTTTATGTGGTTTAAATCAAGTTAAAAAAGTCCAGACTTTTATGATTTTTTTAAAAAAGAGTAGTCAATATTATCAATTTTGAATCATTGAATTTGGGTAAGATGTATTTATTTTCACACAAAACTGAAATTTTTAATTAATGATTTAGTACGTATTAGCCTCAATAAAACCTCAATAAGCAAATCATAACACTTGTTGGGTCATTGGAATGATGCGATATTGAACACTTACAGGACAGACGCTAATTGAAATACCGATATTGAAAAATTCTTATTAATGAGAGTTATTTGATTGTAATAATTAATCTAAATCAATGGGAGATGTTTTAGCTATATAAAACAAGAGTTATTGAACTTGTATTGGTGGATATTGGCATTTGTTGGCTGTACATACAAATGCACTCGAAAGCTCGTCCATTTGTACAGCCAACTCATGCCAATATTCACCAATATAAGTTCAATAACCCTATATTACTGGTGTAGATGACGCTAATTAATGTGCATACATTGGCAATGCATATTTAATGTACATTTTTGATAAGTTTTTGAAAAATAAATGTACTTTGACATATGAAACAGGCACGTAGTATCGCTTTTTAAATGGGGGGGGGGGGGGGGTATCAACAATCAAAAGATTGACGATTTACTTAATTGAAAAAAGTTTAACAAGCAAAAATTTATAAAAAGATCCCTGTGTAAAAATTTTCTGTATCAATTTTGATTCCCACTAGGAGATACCCGCTTTAATCAGTGACAATAATCTTTGCCAAACAATTTTCATAATTTGGTTTTCCAAAAAAAGCATAACCCTTAAAATATTTTCTGGAAAAAATTCCACACCACATTTATGTATCATAATCTGAGTAAATTCTTTACTGAGGGTGAAACCAGAGTAACGGATGTTAATCTGGTTAAAACATTTTTAATTTCAGCGATAAAGAGCTTATGTGAGCTCTTCTGTGCCCGGTGTCCGGTCTGTCGACTGTTGTGTTTCGTCGGTTAATTTTACACATTTCGACTTCTTAAGAACCACTGGGCCAATTTCAACCAAACTTGCCATAAAGTATCCTTGGGTGATGGGGATTTAGTTCAAAAGAAGGGACACACCCTCTTTCAAAGGGGAGATAATTAAGAATTAGTGAAAATTAAGTGTCATCTTTTAAAAATCTTCTCAATAACCACTGGTTCAGAAAGATGAAACTTATGTGAAAACTTAATTACATAGTGTAGAGTCATTTTTTTTTTCAAATCATGACCCCAAGACTAGGGCGGGGTCACGATAGGCGATTGAAGTTTAACTTAGGAATATATAGAATATATATCTTTAAATCTTCTCAAGAAGAGCAAAGACATGATGAGTCATATTGATATGGAAGCATCCTCAGGTAGTGTAGATTCAAGTTTATTTAATCATGACCACACCGTCATGAACACACTGTCACGCTAACACAAAACAAGCCGTCACGCTAACGCAACTTTACAAGACCACGCGCCGTCGTGCTAGCACACAACTCCAGTGTTACACTAACGCAACTTTACACAACACGCCGTCGCGCTAACACACAATACATTGTGTAAAGTTGTGTTAGCGCAACGGCATGTTGTGTGTTAGCGCAACGGCCTGTTGTGTGTTAGCGCAACGGCCATTTTGAAAAATTTTGTTAGCGTGACGGCGTGTTGTGTTAGCGCGACAGCGTGTTATTAACAACGCGCCGGCAAAAGTGCAACAATTAATGCGTTAGTAACAACGCGCTAGCTAGCGTTGTCGCTTTGCACTAGCGCGTTTTCACTTCGCGTCGGCGCGTTGTAATTAACGCATTGTTGCATTTTTAATAAATTCTATAGAACGCAAATTAATAGAGCCCTGCCCAGCACCAGAATACAGGCACTTGGGGTATGGAGCCCCTCCCCCCTTTTCCATTTTTTTTTCTTTTTAAATCTGGGGTCGAGTCACATTTTTCCTACTTTTGTATTCTAATATGCACTATATGT